AGCGTCCTCACAGTGACTCTCTCGCCGGATGTGTACAACGCTACTGCATAAGTGGTGGTTCCAGGAAGTGGAAAAACTCCTGGGAAATACCAAGAGCAATTTTGCTTCATATTTGTATAATGACAGAAGGCGGAGCCAAGTTGTCCAAGTTGACAAGTAAGAAAAGTTGCAAATTGCAAGTCAAGTTCAAGGCACCAAACTGTACCAATCTCCATGTTTATAGTCTACCTGAAGCAGTTGTGGATATATTTAGGTTGAACACAAGTGCCAAAAGAAGGCGCAAAGACTGATGTTATCCTTTATATTTACAGAGTCTCTTATTGTGCCTTTGGTGGTACATCAATTTCTCAAGCAAGCAGTTGACATGAGCATCCCACAAAACTCTGACTGGCAGGCACACTGATCTCGAAAAGCTGCTACTGAAATACACACTTCATACTTTACCTGCTTTAAAGTCATTCAGATGAGATGCCTGTCAGGCTGTTTGAATCAGGTGGCAGTTTGAGGTGATTACCCCAGAATAAGAAGTTGACAAGAGTACACATTTTTGTACTTTTGTGATTTTATACTCCACACGAATAGTGTTTTGGTAATTTGTGGTTTATTTGCTTATTAGCTGTTGTGTGTGTGTGTTAGGTTGCACACAGTATGTGTGAAAAGACAGGCCAAGAAAAGGTGTGTGTAGCCGTGTGAGCATTAGGCATGTGTGAAGTCACAAGGGCTTAAAGCTTGGCCATATACCTACATTACACACTTGGCTGAAGGTTATCCCTCCAGGTTTGAGGTGAGCTCAAATATCAGTTTGTCAGAAATGCAATTGAAGAAACCTCGAAATACACCCATCATGCCCAGGACAAATCGCTTCTCCATGTCCAGTGGTGTGAGGCCCATTAACTGAGAGAATGAACACGATTGAGGGCCTGTTTCTACACGAGCAAGTAAAGGGCAGGACCGATGATTAACGACTGCTGGACAGACGGAAAGGACATGAGAAGGAGACAGAGTCCATGGCTGTCAATGTGAAATACTGACTTTTTTACACTTTAGCTACTTCCATTTTCTTTACAAATGTTAAACAGTAAAAGTCATAGAGGAAGTGTCCTACATTTTGTTAACATTTATTACAACTCACATTAAAAACCCTACAAGGGATAGGCATGGAGACAGATTATATGTCCAGTATATCTACACCCTGTCAGATACTAAATGATTTCACTAAATGTATCTATAATGTGCCAATCCTGCCCTCAGGTCACATTGGAAATGCAGTCTCAGGTAAATTCAACCCATCACATAGTAAAACCCGCAGCCATAAAGCACCTCGGGAGTGCTTTTATCAGTCTTAATGCACTCTTCAAAGAGCATCCTTCACTCTGCGTGTCCCATCATGAGGTGCTGCTTGACCGCAGGCAGAGGCTACAGTATCGGCCTCACTGCACAGATGATGAGAGAGAGCATTTACGTGACCGATGAGCTTCTTAACCTTTAGGGGTCAGTGAGTGCAACATCAGAGAAGGGTGGTTATCCAGACTTAAACCCTGAGTACACTTCTCTACATGGAGTAATGTTGCATACTGCCAGCTCAGTTTCAGTTTGTTATTTGTCTTCAGGAGGATTTTCCAACCAGTCTGACTATAATCAACTCAACAAGGAGAGGTTTGCTATTCTAATTTTCTGCAAGTCCAATTTTGATATCTAGACTTCATCGTCTGCTGATTCTGAATACAATAGTGGCCGACACATGTAGATTTGCTGCGATGGCCCCAATGATGCTCATGGTTGTCAGACACAATGTGCTGCAGTGGTGTCTAATGTGATACTGTCTTTTAATCACCTTATAACAGTAGCGCTAGAACTGGTATTAACTCCAGCCTATTACCAGAAGGGCTGCCTAAGCAGAACCCCCACACAGGAGTCCAGAGACAGGGACAAACTGATGCTTGATATAAATCTGCATAGGGCTGGGTGATATGGCCTCAAATCAATATCATGATATATTGAGCAGTTCACCTCGATAACGATAAATGGGCGATAACTACTCCACAAGCTGCTCACCCCCTCCCACATAAACTTCGTCAACTTCAGCCACCGCCCTAACAACTTTTGCACCGTCCTCTGTCTCCTCACCTGTCTTTCCCTCTTTGTTACGGACTGGATGGGGTGGAGTCACGTCTCTTAATAGGACAGCGTCTTAAAGGGACATGAGACCATAGCCTACCTACACACACCCAAAACCAACTTTTAGTTATTTTTTGACACCAAATATATTGACATGGGCAAAATGAAGCCAGTAACTGTCGTAAATTTCTGTATTGGTAAATTTTTGGTATATCATCCAGCTCTACATCTGCAATCTCTGCATTCTTAATCCTTGGCATTACAGTCAAGATTGGACTCACTTTCAGTCTCCTGGTCACTACACCTTGTTTTTAAAGTTTTTCATTTTCTGATGTGAATTTGCAGTTTTTTGAGTGTCCCAAGACTTCTTTATTATCTTCCCTGGTATCTGAACAGGTATCAGTATTGTTTTTTGTTTGTTTTGGCAAGGATAATTGCTGATGATAAAAACTGCATTAAAGGCAGTACTGGAGTCTAGTTTCTATATCCGTTGACTGGAACCCCGTTGATATTTGAATCAGAGCATCAGAAACTACACAAGACGTACTTCTGCCCTTATTTCACAATTTCTCCACAGTCCAATGCATCACAAGCAAATAGCCCGCTGTTCATCAAAAGCAATAGGATATCTACTCTCCCAACAAGACCCTTTGATGTCAAATTGACACTTTAGTGAAAAGCTCTTCATGGATTTGATATTGCCTGGCAACAGCGAAAAAAAGAGAAAGCCTCTCCTTGTGGCGTCTTCAGGATGGGGAGCAGATGGTAGGAAGAACAGTTTAGGTGATGGAGACAGAGAGGAAGGACGGTACATAGTATTAACCATAATGGTGCTGTATGATGTGCGTTTCTGTTTGGCTTGCCTCCAGGCAGTGCAGCAAAATTAAAGCCCAGAAAATCGGATTATGGCGTCCCCGGGGGTGGGATGCCCAGTAGTCAGCTGATGAGCGTTCATCTACTCCTAGCTGTCTCCTGCACAGTGAGCCCCGCTGTTTGCTGGGAGGCCAATTTGTTAACAATTATTGCTCGTTAGTGAATCTTCCTGCGCGCAAAGGGAGATTCCATAGTAGAGACAAAGCCAAGGTCTATTGTGTTGCAATTATCACAGTTTGAGGGAAAGACTGGCAGATATATTGTCTTTGAAAACTCTGGCTTTCCTGATTGCCAATTTGCCGTGAAGACCCATGCCATCAATGCCACCTGTAGTGCCCACTGAGATATAAATATGCAATCATTTGTTTTTCTTCTTATGTTATTTCTCATCCCTAGCGATCTGTGTCAATTCAAATTATACTTGAAGAGAGTTGGGTGCTGCTGTGTATTAAATGCTGTTATACGGTCATTTAATCCTCTACCACCTGGATGTAAACCAGCACAGATAAAAGATGTTTGGTTTGGGAGTGTTTTGATTAAAAAATTGATAAAAAAAATTATGTTGGCAACCAAGTGACATCCGCCTGTCTCATCTACGCCTCTTTTCCTCTTGGTAAATCTTCCAAGAGTGAGGTTATATCAGTGGATTCAATATGACGGCCACTATCATAGGCTTCAAAATTCCACTTCTGAAACAAATGGGTGAAGTTGCTGAGACCGTATCTGTATTTGGTTAAACTGGCATTACAAAAGCACCCATGTGACCCTGTAAGGAGGACCCGGGGCTAGGGATGGGTGATATAGGCTAAAAAATTTATTCCGATAAGTTTTGCCATTCTGTAGATAACGAAGAAAGTCCCGATTAAATATATTAAAATTCCTATGTATGTTTTTGATTCATTCTGTTTTGAGAACACCACAATCATTGTTCTTGGATGGTACTTACCCGTTGGCATAGTCAAATTAGATACTTAACTACAAGTTTAAGTGGTAGATTATAGAGAAAATTAGTGAAATATGAAAACACTTTCAACATTTATTGAAAACTCTTATTGCACAGAGTGAACAGCAGCAGATCCACTGTCTGATGTCAGGCATATCTAATTGCACTCATCTAAACCCCAATCTTGAAGGAAATCCCTCACGTGGAGCCTTGTTTAGCAACAAGCTCCTCAGAAACATCTTCTTCTCCACCTTTGGCCATGTTTGTTTTACTGACGATAAATCGTGAACGATAATTTATCATCCACCCCTACCCTGGGCTGGATCTTTTAGCTCTGCAATCAGTGGCCACTCTCGGTAAACCAATTTCACATTGTTAACTCGCAAATTCTTCGACCCTGAATGCAGCCACGTTAAATAAGTGTCGCTTTTATTTTTCTTTTCTGTGTTTTTCTCACCTTTTGACCAATCTGTTTTAGCTATTGGGAAATTAGCCAAAGATCCCTAATCACAATATTACTTAAAAAGTGATACAAAGAAGTAAACACCATTTTTTAAATGAACATCTCTACATAAACTTATTGATGAATTTTGAATATGATCACTTCACCAAAAGCCCCTGAATGCCATAGTGGTACTTACTTTTTTCCCCATTGCCTTGGTGATTCATTATTTTCTTCTTATATTAAAAACTCAATGCAACATACTCTTCACCCACAGTGCTGCAAATACACTCTAAATGAATTGCCCTCGATTGCATTCAGGTTACCCATCAGCCTTGGTAAACCTCGTCTACCCAACAGCATGTGTTGCCTCAGCACACCCAGCCCTGCTCAGCCTCCTCACAGGAGCCGCTCACACAAAGGAGCTTATTGTGTGACTGCCTCGCTTTTAATGAACCCCACACTCCTGCTCTCGCTCGCTCCACCCTCCTCGCTAGACCCTCCCCCTGTCCCCGCCTCCCTCATGAATATCACAGCACTCTGCCGTATTATTCATGAGCTGGCATCAGCGTAGTCATGTGCACTGACACCGAGGAGGGAAAAGGGGGGAGTGTCTGAGTGAGCGAGAGTCACAACTCGCATGTGAGTGTGTGCATGTGTGTGAGAGCCTGTGAAATAGAAGGAGCGGGAGAGGAGAGAGGAGACACACGAGCTGATGCTGACACGGCTGCTGCTACTTGTACCACTGCTGATCACGTCTGAACCCCTCATCTGTAACACTCAGCTGGAGCTTTCTCTTCCCCTTTCTGAGCCGGGCTTGTTTGTGACGCCCTGTGTGTGAATGGGACGCCTGGAAGAGATGCCAGCCAAGGAGTGACTGATGAGAACCAGTGCTCCAGTGTGGAGGGTGACCCCCTGTGTCCGTGCCACCACTACTCGGGGAGAATTGGACGCCTGGCGTTTCCACGACGACTATAATGGGCTGCAATCTGTGCACTTTACAGAAGCGAGAGGAACACTACAAGCTGCTGTATGAGATTGCACAGGTGAGCAGGAGCACGGCTGACTACGGGATCGATTTTGTGAGTGTGTGTTGTTGTATATGATTAATTATGCGTGCTGTGCAGAAAACAGTTCCAGGCGGCTGGTTCAAAAAAGCAAAGACAGGAGCCTTGTTTGGAGTGTGTGTGTGTGTGTGTAGGTGAAGATTGAAAAGGCATGAATGAGGGATTGATACACAAAATGAAAGTGAGGCTGAATAATGGAGAGAGGGCGCTTGTTACTTACCAGCAGATGTGTTTTGAGTAATGAGCAGTTGGTAAGAGAGCAGACAGTGTGCAGCCCATTCATTTTGCTGCATGAATGGGCTATTTTTATTAAAATAGTGCCGCCTGAGTACATGGAGAATAAATATGAGTCCTTGAGGGATTATCATAACGTGTTGGTGAGCAAATTCACAAGTTGAGACGGATCGCTGTTGTGCCAGCAGATATTTTCCTGAACTTTTTCAGAAAATACTTGTAAAAGCACAAAAACAAAACATCCACATCTGCAACTATTACAGTTTCAGAATCATGCTCGCTCTGTGAGACTTGTGATGCAACTGCAGAGTAATTGTGCAATATAGGGAGAAATCCAAACCCTGCTAATTCGATGTACAACTATTTCTGGCTATTCTTAAGACAGATTAGCGCATGACGATGTTTCCAAGTGGGGGCTAGCTTGGAGAGATAAACAAGCACTCACCTAACCACTTCCACTCTCCTAATCAGCCTCCTGTGACAGGCTAATAACTGAGAAGCTCACAGTTTCTGGAAGAGGAGTGTTCACCCCCCCTCTCTCTCCAGTAGCTCCTGCCTTCACGCCACTGTGATCACAGCCTCATTAGCCGTTTTATACAACCATCCAGTGCATTAATTAGATGTGAAATGTCTTTTTACCCTTGTGAGGAGAAAGGATGAGAGGAAGCAGGGAAGGTAAACTGTCTTGGGTTAACTGCTGCCAGGAGCTTTCAGCTTGTGTGCAACTTGAGATGTGGTGATGGAGCTTGTGAGTCAGCTCCAAGAACTGCATGAATGAGAGGTGAAAGCTGTGCTACAAGCTTCTAGACCAGTGGTAAAGAGGGTTGCGCTCACTAATGGTCTGCTAAATATTAGCAAACGGACAAAACTGTCCAGGGAGTATGAAGGATGAGCAGGAAGCCCGTGTAGTGCCTGCCGCTCCTCAGGAGGAACATAAAAATAGTGCTGTCTCTGTGCTTATCATGGCTTTTGTGCCTCTCTCCGCACTGCTTGTTAAGAAATAGCGTTGACTCCTTTTCTTGTGGTTTAGCAGAGGGGATCAGTATCCACCAAGTGGGCCAGTCTCCAGGGCACACTCACTGTTGACAGCAGCTCTGTGGCACGTCTGTCCACCCACTGATATACGGAGCGCGGCTCAGGCGAGAGGTGCTACATCAGCAGCTACTTTCTGATCACCACTGTGGGAGGGAAGGCGGGAAGGATGTAGAGCATGGAGGATAAAGACTGGGATGGGAATAGAGAGTAAGCCGTTAAGGATGCAGGTTTTAGAGGAAGAGTAAGGGAGGGGAGAAGGAAATGTGGGAAAGAAGGAAACAGTTGAACTGTATGCTGTCAAAAAGGTGATAAAAAGAAGTTGTCAGGACTTTTTGGTTTAAAATGATGTTTAATGGAAAAATTCTTCGTATATTCAAACATAACAACAGCGATACAACAGTAGGAGGACAGCAAGTTGAGTCTCCTTCATGTAGCAGAGCTTTTCCCGCAGCTGTAGAAGTGTGTCACTGTGTCTTTGTGGTCAGGAGTTGTGTTTTGACAGCAGGAAGCTGCGCTCACTGCTCACTGCTCACACCGCCTGATACCTAATCCTGTTTCTTACATATTGTCTCATCTCTCTGGCTGGCACAGCTCTCACCCTCACTCCACGTTTCCCATTCCCACTCCTCCTTTTCTCAGTATCTTCTCTTTTTGTCCCGTCTGTCTGCTGTTCGGATACACCCACACATCCAAACATGTATGTTCACACACACTCACACACACACACACACTGGCGACTCTATTCCTGTGATTATGCAGAGTCTGTGATGTGTATATGCAAATGAGGCAGAAGTGGTTGCCTGGTGTCACAGCGTGACTGACCGGCCTTGCAGCAGGTTGATTCGGGGAGCAGGAGTCAGTCACAGTGGTTGGTTAGCCACCTTTCTCCGTTTCCCTTCGCACCCAGAAACAATTTTGACACCCTCTCTGTCTGTCTGACCCCAGAAGCTGTGGGAGATTTATGACTACCTGGCTCCCTCACTCTCACTCCTTTCCCTTTTCTCTCTGTTCTCACAGCTGCAGGTGTTCTGCATGGAAATGTGCTCACCTTTCACAGCTGGCCTGCGAAGCTATCTCATACTGCTGACATTTTTTATTTATTGTATTGGCTTTCTGGGCTGGACAGGAAGACACATGAATCTTCCCGTGGCCTTGCTTTCTTCCTGGCTCTCTATGCTCTAACTTTTTCGATTTATAACAACAGCTGATCAAACTTTATTCGTTCTTCTGTATTTTTTTTGTCTCTGACTCGTTTTTCTTGTTTCTTCTAATCTTCTTTGATTGCGTTTGTTCCAACCTTTGCCCCAGACTGCTCTCTGCCGGATTCCACTCAAGTTAACCCTCCAGTGATTGTTCTTTGCAGAGGAGAAATAGTAGGAAGTCCTCTCTTAAATTTGGTCAAGGAGGATGAAACCTTGTTGAACCTTTTGACCTCAAGTTCAGCTGCTCTCACGCTACGGTCACCCAGTTTTACAGCTTGCTCTGCACTAAGCTGCAACTCAAGCTCTTTTTGCAGACGGTAACATACTGTAGTTGATTCGCTCTGTGATCTGGCGGAGCTTTGTAATTCCCGTTGTGTCCGTGAGCTCCCCTCGTGAGTGTCACACATTGTCTGTGCACCGCTGAAGCCCAGCGATGTGTGGCTTTTTTGGGGGCTAATTAGCAGAATAGCAGATGTTGATGGGAAGCGCAACGCAGCGTAGCCCAGAGTTCTGCAGGCAGAATGAGATAGATTTTCACAGTCCGCGTGTGTGTCGATGCATTAAGGATTTACAGTGTCTTCTGTCATTGTCAAGAGCCATTTCTTGCAGAGTTGCAAACAAAACAAAAGGCTCAATCACAACTTTTAGCATCTTAAAAGAAGAGTTAATGTCGATGCAAGTCCACCGCCGTACTCAATCAGCAGCCAGCCATTGTTTATGTAGCTGCATAATGAATTTCAAACTAAGCAGTACAGAGTATAAACCCCTTCACATTCATCATCAGATTTGTAATTTGCAATAAGCCCAGCTCTCTTTTTTTTGTGTCTTGAGCAGCAGAGCCCAGTTTTTTAAGTTTTATTTGACAGGAGCCGAATGACTCTGCTGCATTTCAGAAATAAATGGAAAGCAGCTTCTCAGCTCAATGAGGCACAGCAGTCCCTGATAACTTGCTGATGCATATGAATGAGAATAAGGCACTCACTGCGCACACACATCCACACACACACAATCTTTCTCTCTCTCTCTCTTACACACACACAGACAGATATCTGTCTACGAGAAACAAAAACAGTCTCAGTGAATATTTTAGGTACATATCCAGAAAACCCTTCCCATGAATGTTTGAGTGTGACAGCGCTCAGTAGGCCGACTGCCGTGGCATTTCAGAGTTAAGCTATGTCATGTTGAGCAGTGACACCAAGTTGTCAGGACAGGACAGACAGGCGGCCGTGAAATGAAGCACATCTGGAATTCATTTGTCCCCGAGGTGACAGGAGATCCCCAAGAGCTTGGTTCCTGGAGTAGAGTTGATATTAAGTTCACTTTTGTAGCACCAGATGTAAAACCTGTGGCCTGAAAGACAGTCTGAAGAGGACATAGCTGACTTGTTGCTGCTGCTGCTGCTGAAACAGGACCAGCCATGTGTGTCATGGATGTGAATTTCTAAAAGGTTGAGCAGCTATCACAACAGCCAGACTTTCTGACAAAAATTTGGCAGTTTTTTAGCAAATACATGAATCCCCTCAAAGAAAGGATGCAGCAGAGTCTGTGTTTACTTTTTTCTGTGTGAGCTGGGACACTGGTTTGTCTATTGGTTTACAATGGTGCTGAATGTTGGCTGTAATCTCATTTTTTTAGACTTTGGAAATAAAAGTTTGTTTGACTATTAATAAGCTAACTTGCAGTTGGAGCGCTTGCAAAGTTTGAATTGTCAAGAAACTTTTTTGTTAAATCAAAACTAAAGATACTTTTACCAGACATTTTATCATGCTTAAGGTGTTCCCCAAGGCAGCATTCTGGGCCCCTTCATTTTTCTGTACTCAGACTGTATTGACAGTCATTTGAAGCAGTTAAAAGCTCCCGTAAAGGCTCATTAGTATGAAGATTGATTATTTTGAACAAGTTCTTTTTGTTGTGTGAAACTGCTGCAAAGTTGTCAGACAGGTCAAAGCAGGATTACTGCCCACAGACAGAGGGCACTATAACTTAAACAAAACAAAATTCCTTACAAGAGCTTTAAGATGCAGCTTTAGATTATAGATGCTGTGCAAAAAAGTTATTATAATCATGATTAATATAAAAAATTACAATGTTGTGAGCTTTGGGAGCTACATTGATTGAGTAAGAGGAGGTAAAGAGGTATTTTAAAGTTTGCTGTACATTTGTACACTTCCAATGAAGAAATGATGTCCTATAAATCATTTAACAGCAAATTATGAACTGCTCAGTTGTCAATACTTCTGTTTGTAAAGTCAGTAACTTAACATTTTGGATGTTTGGTTTATTACATCAGTGCTTAGTGGAGTCATAATGAATACTTATTTCAGCTTCTTACTGTGAATAGAAATGAAATTAATCAACAGATTAAGCAGATTGTAATGAGAATAATTGCTCATTAAAAGAAAATTATTAGAAGTAAGAAATGTGTTATAAAACTGCACCAGGAACAAGCCATCTCTCTGCTTGGCTTCCATCACTATGCATGTGCCTGTAATGGCTTTGACGGTACATTAAGGCTTTTGGACCCTGCTCTCACCCCCCAGACAGTCAGCTTCAAATGTTCTCATCCATCTTCTTGTCCCATTATCTTTTTCTTTTTTTTTTTATGAATGATGTCCCTCAACCATTAAAATTGATAGAAGTGGAGATAGAGGGGGAGGAGAGTAAGAAACATGCTGCTTGATTGATCTTGTGTCCACCCTGGAAAGATTATCTTGATATATAATCTGGCTTTACGCCGCTGCTTTTGCAATTACAAAATAATGCAAAGATCCATATTCTCAAGCCATTTTAAAAAATCTTATTTAAGGAACCAAATTTATGTTTTAACCCTGTTCCCATCATCAGTTCCTGACTTCTCCTACAGTCTTGAACTACACAGCACTAACCTGTTAGTCAGCCATGTTTGATTATAATGTTAATCGACGTCAAAAGTGTCACTGGGTTGAGATCTGTTGCTCATTTCTCATACATATCAGGCTAGATAGATAACATCGGCCTCTTGTAAAAGATTTCACTGTCGGGTTGTGACTCCTGGATTACAAGGAGTAACCAAGTGGCAGCGGTTGGATTTTAAAACACAGCGCCGTTTGATAAAAGAGAAAATCAATAAAGGGAGTCAAAATCGAGATCTTGTGTTTTGGCGTGGAAGATGTGAGGCATACTTCTAGGAAACAGATGATGCCACATTTGCCACAAGACATGAAGTCAATGGTTTTTATCAGTCAGTCCACTAAATCTCAACATGCAGGAGCAGGAGAGATTTAAGAGGGAGCTGATGAATTGACCTTTCCGTTTCGTCTGTTTCTTATCTCAGTAAGAACCCCGCTGACCTTTTCAGCCACATATCAAGTCTGTGGTCCCCCTTGTCTCCTCGTGCCTCTCCAACTCAACATGAACATAGCTCTCCAAAATGAGTTTCATCTCCCGTATGTGCTTCCGTCTGTGCTGATCTCATCTCATTCACAGCTACTGCCAAGGAAGATACACAAACAAACAATGACATACCATTTTCCTTTGGGAACTGAAGCTGTTTGAGAGCAAATTTCTCTACTTCTCACTGCTGAGGTGGAAGTGGAGGTAGTTGTTTTGGCTGTTTGCTGCTCTAAAGTATTCAGACAGGGGCTGTGATACGGGGTTATTGTCTCATGTACGTGCGCTGAAACAACAAGAAACCAATTATTGAAGCAAACAAAGTCGCGGAGGTCATTACACTCATTCACCTTGCTAGTTTTTTTGTTTTTCTTTTTTTACCTCCATCACCTCATTAATTCACTGAAATAGAAGTAATTTCACTCAGGGTGAGTCCCACTTAGTCGGATGACATCAGCGTGGCGTCATCCATGAGTAAGACCCAGCCTTGTCTTGGTGCGTGTTGCGCTTTCATATGCTCATCAGGATCAAAGGCCGTCAGCTTCAATCAGACTGGAGGAGTGACGGCGAAAATGAACTACATGCCTTGAGTATCTCAGTGCCAATCCCCAGTGAACCAGAGCATCTGTTTAATGAATTGGACCCGGCGTAAGATGACTCAGATGTTACGAGTGTGTGTAAAGAAAGGAGGAAAAGCACGTTATTGTGGCTTGGGGGGCGGTTAAATATATTCTGTGCTGCTCTTTTTGTTTGTACCAATACCTCAGCCGGTAAACAAAGGACAAAAGACGCATATTTGTCTTCCCCCATTATTATTAGCCATGACTTGTTGCCCTCAGTATAACTCAGAACATTATGCATTAAGCAGCTTTTTTTTTTCCATAAGCATGACTGTTTATGGAAATATCAGTGTGCATGTGTGCATAGAAAATGGTTGTATAGTCAGAATTATTTAGTCTCTGTCCAAATTGCTTCGCATCAGCGCTTGATTGCTGCAAGTGTGTTTGCATGTCTGTGTATGTGGTCGCTTTTTACCGAATAGTAGATCTGGGGCTGATGGATTCTGCTGTCAACTTCTGTTCCCGCATGTGTGAGACTCTGCGTGTGTGTGTGTGTGTTTATCTTGTGCATGTTTGAGAACAGACCTGACAGCTTGTGCTTTTCACTACAAACATTGGTGAAAACAAAGAGCTATGGGAAACACACAGGGGGCCGTGCATCTGCATCCAGGGTGCTTCTTAGCTGATTATGTGAGTTTAAGCAGACAGAAGGGCCCTCATTAATTTATTGCCATTCACAATAACACATCTTCTCTTCTCCTCCCAATTAGTGAGGATTGTGTGCTGGGAAAGTCAGATATTTCAGCGAGGAACAAAATTCAATACCGCGGGTGTAATGAATATGAAACATTTATCTTTTTAAACTAAAAAAAAACTTTATTTTTTTTTATTTCAACTGAAATGAGCATAGTTACAATATTTAAAATCAGGTTTTATTCTGTATGTCCTTTTCTATGCTTTTATTTTTCATTTTCAGCCAAGTCGTTAAAGTAAAAGGTATTTGTTATCGTACACCACTCAAAATGTTAAAATTACAGACGCTTAGTTGTGAACTTTAGCTGGAAAGGACACAAAAATGCAGTTATTTCTACCTACATGTTAAAAACCTCAGGAGACATTCTGGACAGTTACAGGTAGCAACATGGACAAAATTCCACTGATTGCTATGGAAAAAAAACCAGGATGTAGATTCTTTCTCGGTAACTATGAATTTGACCTTTCTCCAGCAGAGGGCACTCTTAGCGTAACCTGACTATTGCATGTGCTTGGTAACAGTCATGACCCCACCTCATGGAACTATTGTGGGTTATAATAGATGGCAAAATGAAAGAGACAGATATGGCTGTTTGTTGACTTTATGCAAAGCACTTTTATTATTTGTCAATCACGCTGAATCTTTGGGACTGTCTGTAAGGCAGGAGGAGGAGGAGAACGCACCACAATCAAGCTGAATTTAAAATATTTACTGTCCTAGTTTTTCTGAGGTAGATCAGGGATTTTACGAGTAGCTACTGTTGTATTTAGAGCAGTATCCCGAGTCACTACTACTTTGCAGAGGTATACCCAAATGATTCCTGTGTGATGGGATATCAACACTCATTTACAGTCTGAACAGCAACAGTGAATGAAGTTATAGAGTGATCATATGGATTTTTTATGTTATTCTGGTGAGTACTCTGAGTTTGACTGCTCAAAGGAGGGAAAAAAAGTCCAGCAAGTTTTGGAAACAGACAACAAAAAGAGAAAACAACATGCATGGAAGTGTCCCAGTTAAGACTCAGATCTCTTCACAGTTTTTGAGTCTTGATGTCTGAATGATTTCAATTTGACTCCAGTTTCGTATAAAATATTAATGTATATCTATCTCTGCTCGGGAGTGCATGAACTTCACATTTAAAAAAAAAACAAAAAAAAAAACAGATATAAAAAACATATCCAACATTTCCTCTTCAGAGTTCTCCCTGTTTCAACCAAAGACAGCAAAATGCCCCAAAAATAGGATATATTCTTTACTGTTTTCTCGTGAATGAAACCCCTGCTGTCTGTTTGTCTCCAGAGCTGCAGCATGAGGATGAAACTAAGTAATAAATTTTCTCTACTGGTGAAATGAAAGAGGACCTGACAGAACACACAGGCTTTCTCTTATCAGTGTGATACAATGTGTTCTGCGTCCAGTCTCCCCCCAGCCACAAGATATCAGCTCTAACATCTCCGCTGACATTTGGAGGAATAGGATGGTGTCAGGGCCAGGGCTGCCTGCGTGATCTATAGTCGATTAAAAGAGGCGACAAAGCCTCCTGTTTTTGAGGAAAATGCTTTCAGAAGGACCTTTTCTTCCTTTTTGTTTGTTTGTACTCCACCTTCTTTCTTTTGTTACTTTCATACCTTCACCTCTGCATGAGTGTGGTGCCTCAGGAGGTTTGAATAAGACTGTGACAGGTGTGTGTCCGTGAGCACACTCCCCCCTGGCTGCGTGAGAGGATGACTGATGCAGAAGCAGGTCAGGAGATCAGTCTGTGTGTATGTGTGTTTGGGGGGTGAGGAGGGGGGTTGGGTCAGACGCTGGGGGGTGTCTGGGTGACAAAAAGCCCCATGGGTTAGGCAGCCATACTGGGTGTCACTCCACAGGTCAGTGGGCACCCCCTGCGGCTCTAGTGATAAGCCCGGCCTGTCAGCCGTTTGATGGGAAGGGCAACACAGACTCACACCTCCTCGCTCCCTCCTCCTCGCACGACCGGGCCCTGAGGAGGAAGGCGATAAGGAGCTCCATGAATGTGACACTGCAGCGCATTCAGCTATCTCATGAGGAGCCAGTTTATCAGGGATTATTAGCCAGAGTACAAAAGGCAGGCAACAACCTTTTAGCTGTTTTTAAATACATCTGGAGGGCCTCTGGGTTTTTGACTGTGAAGGAGAGTTTTAAAGGGCAAAGTTTGGATGTTTGAAGTGGAGTTATGTGGGTGATTTTCTAACAGATTTTGTGTAACCCGCCATTGTACCACAGCAGGGGTGAAGCAATGGGGATAGGATAAGCCTGGGCGATTTAGCAAAAAAAAAATGATCACGATGTATTTTGTCATATCATCCGATCTCGATTGTCATGATTTCTTTTTAAACTGCCAGTTTTAAAGTATCTGTACTAAAAATTAAAGAAACTAACGATTAGTTTAACATTTTATTAACATACAAAGTAAATAACAAAGGAAATTAAACAAGATAAACTTAGAAAAATATAAACCATTTTATCTCAACAGTACAACAAAAGTAGATAAATACTAAATAATACAGTGAACTAGTTTATTGTCCTGAGTGTTTTTGCAGGTATGCAAGACCCAAAATAAACAAGTTGCCCCTCAGGGATAATGAAGACGCCTTAAATGTAAACATTAGGTGATGTGATTGATCGCTGCTTTGGTCTGGTGGCTGCACCGCTAGTTGTGGCTAAACTGCTAATGCTACTCGTGCTGATAGCAGTGACAGGCTGTACAGACTCCGCTCACATTTTCATGCTTTTCGCATAATCACTCGGGAAGTACTTCTTCAAATGATTAAACAGATCTGTTGTGTTGCCGGTTTTTGAGGGCACCGACCAGCGACATAGCTTACGCATCGACTTAATTGCTCGACGTCACTTTGGAGATACCCGAACCACCGCAACACAACCTACGTTGAATAACTCAAAGTCACGGCTGACATCTATTTCGCTGCCCTCAGCTCCGTGTTTACCTCCATATTCGGTCTTTCTGTTTACTTCTCTGGCAACTTAAGAAGTGAGCAGGAAAAGCTCGACTCTGATTGGCTGTTGCACATTTCCTCTATGTTTGATCGAGTAAATATGCTCACAGCTGATCACCGTGATCGAACTTAAATTTATCACGATCATCGATCACGACTATATAATTGCCCACTCCTAGGATAGGATCACCTTCCAAAAATTTTTATCCACCTACTGATTAAATCTGTGCTTCATATAAAAACTGAACTGCTTTGAAAATTTTACTGTTGAAATTTGCTCTCAGGTCCCTCCTTTGGTACTGTATTTTCTGGACCATAAAACCCCTGCAATTGCTTGCATGCCAGGCAATATCCTGCTGAATAGCTGTACGGGTCAGTGATAATAAGGAAGAAAGCAAGCTAAGGAAGAAAATTAACATAGGAAAAGGCTGTTTGAAAGCAAAGTGAAGCAGTTACAAGTTAACCAAACACAGCTAACTTACAATTTATTGTTATTCTCTGGATCATCTTCGCTTGTTTACTGGAGCCTTGTTATTGGAGTTACAGCCCTGAATAGTGGTGTGTGGCTGTGCTACAGCTTAGACACAGCACATGACGGACACTGATTTCAGCCTTACAGTAATGAAATATTAATAAATAGTTTGACTGGCTTGTAATTCTAGCGCTGAATTGCAAGGGAGACAATGTTTAATCTGCTGGTTGACTAGACTCACACACTCCAGCTCCAGACACCGTGCACAGCAGACAAAAACATCAACATCCTGCATGAAAGACAATGGCTGTAATGAAGTACCTCATACAACCACATCCAAACCGAAAAGGAAAAAGACACATTACCAAACTACCCCGTTAAGTCCACAGAGATGTGGCTTCATTGTTGCTGCTGCTGTCACAGTGACACACTGACACAGTTCCAAAGGGCTCGCTTTTAATGAGCTGCATTCGCAATGAGAGCATCACAATGGCTTTTTAAACTGCAGCCTTACTTGAATGAAATCAATGGCTCATCAATGCAGGGTGAGTTTTAGTTGACACCTCAGTGCAAATGAAATTCAGTTTGATTGCAAAATCTATTTTAAAGTCCAATCCTATTAGAATGTGAAGTCAACGGGCCTGCGGGTTAATTGATTTGCAAGACATGTTTCATTTGGATGAGTTAATCAAATCTCCATGAAATAAATCCTTTCAGTTTCTGATGAAAGCAAAAAAGAACATGCCATTCTAAGACTAAGGCACACTTCACTTTCTATTTATCAGTACAAAAATGTGAGAGAAAGAGGAGTCTATTTTTACAACCCGACACATTGTTGTAAAACAGCAGCAAGCAGAAGTTCACAGAAGAAAGTGGATGATATCTTATGAGGTTGGAATGGCGACTGTGTTTTCTCCCCCGCAGCACTGCAGTCAGCCCAGCACCTCCTACACAACGCAGATCCTCACACAGCCAGGCCTCCTTCCTCACTCCTCACTCCTCACAGCCTCAGCACTAGCAGGCGGACTGGCAAACTGGGAGGGAGGGGGGCACCAGCCTTATTCTGCTCCTTGTTTGTAGGAATGTGAAGTTGCATTATGAGATAGAGTTGTAAAAACTGAGAAATTACTAACATAGAGGCGTTTTTTCAAAACAAAGCTTAAAAACAAAGGGGTGTAAACCGGGGTTAAACTTTTGCCTTTTATTTCAAGGCGACACATTCATTCACTATTGATTAATGTACACATCATGTGGGTTGTGACTAGGGGTGTTGCAATACAACTTTTTTACTTATCATACGATATTGATATTGCAGCCTTCAGTATTGGTTGATACCGATATTGATCCGATATTGGCACAAATGTGTAAATAAGTTTTGCACTCAGCTGCAACGTATTTTTCTGACTTCAACTAAAAATTCTGCCACACAGCCGACATCACTCCAACTCTTTGCTACTTTGTTAGTACCTTAGTACACACTGTTGTTGTGATCACATGAGCTGTGCATCCTGGATCCAGGTACTGCTGGATAGAAGTGCTGGAGTGGAGTCTGGAATGGACTGCTTGTATCAGAGTGCTTATATTGGAGATTTTAGATACAGGCTGATATCCGATATCAATTTTTTTGATGCTATTGGACCGATATCCAATATCAGTATCAGATCAGGACACCCCTAGTTGTGACTTTGTTGTAAACTCTATGTCTATGTAGATGAAATAAGCATGACCACGTGGAGCATGTTGGGTCACGATAAGCCTGAAAAAACACACTAAGTCAATCTTTTCCACATAGGAAAATTGCTCTGTGTTGACCCTCCACCAGTCATTTGGCTTCGTATTCAAGGATGGGGTAATTTCCTGGTAAAACTTCTCAACCTCTGTGTCCATAGTGGCGTTTAGGGAATTGCCCCCTTAAAAAAAAAAGAGCTGCTTCTTGCTGATTGATATCAATATTTCATTTTTGTTAAAACACTATATTGCCCAGATGCAAGCTTTGTCCATGAACTTATGGGTACATTTAGAGCTTTCAGGTTTTGATATCTATTCCCGCTCAGAGGATCACTCCCCTCGACTAAGTGATCCGAACTGTGTGAAGAAGATCGGGAAAGATGAGACTGGATAATGTCTGGGGAGCACGGAGCCGTAGTCCATTAGTGTCATCGGCGTGTCACTTACTCTGAGTGTCATCGGTCCGTGTCAGTTTCTCTCCTCCGTTTGTCAAATATGAGGTGGGAGTGGCTGCTGTCATTGCTCAGACAGGCTGAGATTTTTCAAAGAAAAAAAAACAACAGACAGTGAATGATCGATGCCACAAGACCTTACAAGTCTGTGACTCATGCAGGTTATTAATACATTGTGTAAGGTTGCATAAATGTACAACATCGGTCTGAAATTGCCAGCGGTTTATAGGAATAGCAGTTTAAAAAGATCTGATTTGAAAACAGTGTTTTCCTCTGAGGTTTGCCTAAGAGTGCAGCACAGAGGTAATCAATACAAGAATGTCTGTTTTTAGATATGAGTACATTTCAGACTGTTGGTAAATTAATCAATAACGGAATATGTTTGAGATAGAGAGACAGGAGGATGGGATGAAGATGGGATCCTTCCTCCACCTCAGGGCTGCTGTTCATCGGGGGACTGACAGAACGCTGTAAAATAAAATAAAAAAGGACAATGAGCAAGCAGATATCTCCCACATGACACTCTGACACACTTGCATAAACCCCCCCTTCAGACTACAAAAACACACAGAGGCAGTGAGTACACACCAAGACATCATATTTTTTTCAGCTCTCCACCAGATTCCCCCGCTCTAGGGGGAAAGTTGTATTTCAGGAACGAGGGAGTCTGGAAATATCCAGGTTGCTTGGGGAAAAAAACTATCACGCTTGCTTGTTTTTTGAATTTGGCAGTCTCACAACTGAGGGAGTTCCGTTTTCCATTCTGTCTCTGTCTGACAAGTCCACACTGCAGCCAACACCTCAGCGATGGCCCCAGGTGAATCTGAGATATATGGGTTTTCTCCAGCCAGAATACCACCACTCAAGGCTAAAGCCTGAAAAAGTCATTCATCTCAAACATGAAGGATTTTTCAATACAGACGTCACTTCTCACCATAATTCAATAAAACAGATCATAGAGGGAAATATGTATCCATAACACAAGCAGGCTTTATTAATACACAATGCCCCCCAGGATAAAGCTGGAATTTATGCTCCAAATACAGGCCACTAGGGTAATAAATAAAACCTGGAGAGGGGCTGACATCCAGGTACTGCCATGTTTTGGAGAAAAAGACAACAATATTCTTTGTAAAAGCAAAATCCAATCCTTCTACATAATTGTTACTGATAATGCATGAATAGTTCTCCAGATAATTAACACTTTAAGGAGGCTGACTTTCCACAGAGGGCCAGAAAGAGAAGATATCATCTCTGAAGGAAGTAATCCTTGCAGTAGCATGTGTTTGCCAAATTGCTGCAGCATATTTATTAATGAATGCTGTATCTGCTCGTTGAACAGGTGGGTTCATTTGAAAGTCAATTGCAAACAGCTCTCCTGTCTAATTTCAAATGAACTCAGACACACCGGGCTAGCTAAGCGACAGAGGTACTGTTTTATAGTGAATTAAATTACTTTGTCCAGTGATTCAGCTGCACTGTTTCAGAAATGAAGAATGTTTTTTGGACTGATACATTTCATTTTTACTTTTGGTTGATTTCAGAACAGTTGCAAACAACAGCAAGGTGCATAGATTGAAAGCAAAAGAATAGAGCCAGTTTCTGCATTAATCTGCCTAGCAACACATGATACTCTATTCAAAACTAAATTTTACAGAGCTCATTTAGACAAACAGGGCGGCAACCACTTGAGCTCCCAAGAAGTTACTTTTCTACATGATGAAACACATACTTTTAATATTTAACTGTTTTATTTTACTGTTTTCATGTCTCTGTTGTATTATTTTGGGTTTTACATTCTATGTAAAGCGTCTTTGAGTGTTTTTAAAAGCGCTGTACAAATAAAATGAATTATTAATATTATTATTATTATTATTATTATTATTATTATACTAGCATAAGTTTAAACAGAGCCAAGCTAGCTTGATCATATGCTAACCATTTACTAGCCCTAGCTTCATACTTTATAGAGGACAACTGTTTGTAACCAACTGCCTTAGCTGAAGCTGAAGAAATCTGCTGTCATCCATGACCTTCATTACCTGAAGGCAGTAATGGAGGCTATTTAGTTTGTCATAGCTGCTGGGTTCTGGGGGAGGGTAAATTAGTGCATCATCTGCATAATAGTAAAAAAGAAACATGTTTCTTTAGATAATATGTCAAAGCAAATAGATAGAGAAGAAGATAGCACCAGGAATTGAACCTTGGGGGACACCACAGGGAATGAGGACAGATGACAGATAAATTTGCCCACTAGATTTGAGACACTAGAAGACCTGTTGCATAGAGAGAAAGATAAACAGTCTAAAGCCTTGTGTTGTAACCTGTCAATAAGAATACCATAATCTACAGCATCAAAGGCTGTAGAGAGATCCTAGAGCACGGCTGCCAGTAAGTCAACTCAGCCACACCTCTAGTTATGCAAATCTTTGTGTGGCTCATTGTCTCAATATCTTCAAAATGGTAAAGTTATAATCAAAAAAGTCACTTCCTGTACATAATGTATGAAATAAAACAATGGTTGGCGGAGGTGTTAATGGAGATCTATGCTTTTGCAGACAACCTCAAGTGGACGCTTGAAGAAATTGATTTTTTTTTTTTGCCCATTTGCATTGACTCTCATTTCTCTTCTAGAAATCTTTGAATGCAGACAAAGAATCCCATACAAAAATAATGGCATAGAGGTCGGTAGGGTTCATGAATATCTATAATACTAAATACGATTAAGGTGTTCATGAGAGATCAGTCTAACAGGCTTTTACCTGGAAGGTCTCGATATCCTAGAAGAAATTCTCTTTGACTTTTCTTCGAACCAGCAGGAGACCCTTTGTCAAGTATCCCGCTGTCTCCACATGGACTGTGTTTCGGCGCCCACTGAGCTGTTATCCAACTAAATGTTGATCCTTGGCAGAGAATTAAATGTGCAAAACAGAATGAGAAACTACAAGTGCCAGATGTGAGGGAGATTTAACAGGTTGCCCTACTGCTGCTTGGGACCAATTAGCATTTGTCATGACCGACTTCCACCCTGCTACTGCTCTGTGTGTTTTGGGCACAGATTTCTTTCACCTCCAATATGGTTGAGATTTTATTATCTTCACTAATTATCTCCATCTACGGCCCTCCTCCTCCGCCTCTTTCTAAGTCCTAGAATTGTTATCAGAAAATCACTGCACAACAGACGCTTAGCTCCCAAGCAGTTGCGCTCATCTAATTATAAAACACTAGGTAAATGTTGAGCAGATGCCCTCCACCACTACCCCCACCCTCCCCCTCTGTGCCTTCCAATAGAGAGCCATTTGGTCGGATTCTAGTGTTACATTGGCTCCACATGGAGTGGGGATCCTTGCCAAGTGGCTGTCGTGGTATAAATGAACTAATAGCTCGCCAACTTTACACAAAACGTCCAGCAGATTAGAACAAAAGAAGAACTTCCTCTTCAGCGAAAGTGGTCTGCTACTCCCTGCTGAGGTGCTCGACTCCTCAGCCTCCCTCAGCTTCTGGTGTCTAGTGAAGGAGTGTGCTGCTTCTGTAGAGAAGAGGCATGTGTGGGATGGTGTCAGAGGAGGCTGCAAAATCTCCTAATGACGAATAGCTTCAGTGTCCTTGTGCCTTTCACTTGGCAGGGCCATGAAACAATTAGGCATCTGTTAGTGGTGGATGAAATATAAGGTAAATAAACAGCAAGGGAAGACAGGGAGAAAAAAATTAGGCTTTACTAGAAAGTAGAGCAGCCAGGAAGCTTCAGAAAGCAAACTTATTGGCTCCCTGTGCATCATATGGCTTTGTTCTGTTGTACTGTACTCTGCTGCACATGCTGTCCTTGAATTTCTACTATCCTGTTTAATCCCCGTAGATCTTTCCCTGCAATTGCTTTGCCCCGCTCCTTCAATATGATTAAATATCCTCATACATTTCCACATCCTTTTCGTGTTTTCGATCTGATTCCACTTCCCGTCTATTCTTAAAATATTTAAATGAGCTGGTTGGTTTTGGGATGTTATATGCACATCAAGCTAGGCAAAGCAGCAAGAAAAAGGAGAAAGGCACATAAACACTTAGCAGAAATCTTATATATTTGGTAATCATATCATCACAATGCAATAGCCCCTTTTTATCAAAAACACCCGCCCTGTTGCAGGTGAAGTAGCATTTTTGCACATTACTTGGTAAAAATGTTAAATTGTGATGAGCATCGGAAAAAAAAGGCCAAAGTTAAGTCCGCAAAGTTCCTACCAAAGCATGTAGAGGATTGCACACAGGGAATAATGACAAAGCCTGTGGATATGGCAGCATGTTTCATCACACTGAGTTAACTTCTTGCGGCAGAAAACTTGGGTTGATTTATCAGACTTCAAGGTAGACATCATGCTGTCTCTTTCTCCTCTCCTCCTCCTGTTTTCACATCCTGCTCCTGGCTTCATTACCCCTCATACACACACTCTGTGCTGGGGAGGCAGAGCAGCTGTCATCTCTGTCTGGCAGGAGTTTCCCTCCTGTCCGCCTCAGACACAAGTGACCTGTTCCTGTCTGCAAACCTGGACAGACAACAGCCCTCGCTGCAGCTTGTACGCTCCAGGTGTGGGTTCTGGGTATAAGCTTCATTGGGATCTGGAAGCATTGCTGTGATTGCACTTAATAGATGATTAAATTTTAATCTTGGCCTCACAGTGCCGTGGATAAAAGCCTTATAAAACAATACTGAATTTGTGCACAGGTAGGATTAACTTGAGGAGTAATCACATGCCTGTGCACACGAAGCATCCATTACACAGTCGGACTATAAATCTGCTTTGGAATTAACCAGTGAGTGGAGGCTGATTGCTGTAGCGGTCCCCTCTCACTCTCAGGAATGAGAATAAACGAGCGGACGCTGGCATGAACAATCCTTTATTACACCCATTAGCCAAAGGAGCCACCGCCTTATGAAACAGGGGACACCAAACATGCAGCCCTGTCGTCACATTCATGGCCTACTTATGGTTCCCATGACAGTGTGAAACCCCCCCTCCTCTACTCCTATCATTGCCACTGCCACACATGCATACTATTACCACATTACCCGGCCCCAATCGCACATCCGTTTGCACATTCGGTGGATGCTGAACAGTCGGCTGTGCTACTCCCTGTAATGTCAAAATATTTCTGAAGCGCCAGCTAATAAGTGCGGCTCTGGAGAGCCTCCACGAGCTCAATATGTTCATCAACACATTTTTTTTTTTTCAGTTTTGGAGAAACTTCAAGAGGCGGCAGAATCATTAATCAGGAAGTTTGCTTCATGTTGCCTGTAAATCATTGCACGTATTCCTGGATGAACAACACCAGCCAGGTGCTGTTAATCAAGATGGGTTTGTTTGTTTTTTGCATACATTAAAAGTGCCAGGTGGACTATTTTTCATTAATGTATTCTCCATCAAGAGCAGGGTAATGTTACAGCTCATTTAGTGTGCAAGGCTTCAGGTCATATAAACATGTTTTGACAGGTGTTTCATTACATACTGAATGGACTGGCTGACATTGTTGTGGTTTGTATTAGAGGTTACTTGTCCCTGCTGTTCGGACAGAGATTTTTTCATATGAAGCATTCGCCTGTGTGAATGTTACACAAGTACAGCAGTTGGCCTGGAGTGCTCTCTGTTAACAGATCACAATACTCAGACATGTGTTGTTGACATTTACATCTCCATTCAAAACACTCTCCAACTGCACTCTACTGTGATACGCCACCTGTCATTTGTGCTTGTTTACATCCAGATAGTGGAGCATTATGACAGTTGCCATCAACCAGAGATTCATCCCTGACTAGTGACTGATTATTGCAACACTGCAACGAGGGCTGCAATGATTAGTGGACATTGTCGACAATGAATTCCATTGTCGACTGTTGTCACCAGATATGTTTTTTCCAGTGCAGTGAGGCATCTTACTACATTATGGTCTCTGCCTAGAGTCGCACAAACACAATAGTGTCTCCACTGAGCAGTAGGGTATTCAAACATGATAGCGCTGGCCATCTTCACTTCAGCCTGGATAAGGCGAAAATTGTAAAATTCAAGCAAAAATTCAAAATTATTTGATTAGTCGACGAATCGTTACAATAGTTGGTGACTAGTGGACTATTAAAATAGTTGTTAATTGCGACCCTTTACTGCAACATACTGTATAACTGGCATTTTGGGCCAACAATAATACAACTTCTAATCATTCATTCATTCATTCATTCACTCATTCATTCAAAAAAAGGCAAGTGACTCTGATTGGCTGGTTAGAAAAGGAATAAGAGTGGTCTTTTTGGTAGCTGAATGCGAACAACAGTCATATGGACTGATATACCGTTGATTGTGTTTATGTTTATTATTTCATGGAGCTTTGGTGACCAATTGTTGACTTCAGAGGTTGAGCAATCTTATGGTGTATGTTTACTTAAAATTCAATCTACCTGCTTTTGCTCTCCATACAGATTACTTTACATCTAGGTCTGCTGATACTTCTTTGACCAACACTACTGGACAGGAAACTCTGAAATACTGAAAAGTGTCTTGAAATGTAACGCTTTGTAATCTATGAAGACGGAAACAGCCAGGTTCCTGTGAGTGGGTCAAGGTTTCCTGTAGTTTTTTTCAAACACAGTTACAGTATTCTTCATCAGGTAGACAGTAGCTTTTGTATCCATCATTTCTGCCTCCACTCTTTCAACACTGTAATCAGGACACAGTTGGAAACCGTGGATTACATCCAATTTCCTCTCACATCCCTTTGTTTATTGACCTGGGGGCCTAACAAGAAGTAAGACTCAAGAGGGTTGAGAGAAAAACCACAGGCATTGACTTTTCAAACCTCTCTGCCACTCTCTCCGTGCCACGGAGAACTTGCAGGGGAGCGGTGAAGTGGATTGATTATACTTGTGATCACTCTTCTGAGATAATGTCCTTCTTTTTAATCATGCATTGTGCCTCTGCTCTTTACAAGGATAAGATTATCATCAGCAACTTCATCACTGTCTCATTGTAAATGCCGTCCTAATTGGACAGCTCTGCTTTCAGTTGGAGGGTTTGATCTTATTTACCGTTGTGTGTCCTTCAACTGACACAGGATCAGTTGTGGGATTTTCAGATGTCTGTTTTTTTTTGTTCATGAACATCAATGAAGGATTTTTGCAGCTATAATGAAGAGTATTCGTTACGTTGTGATGGTAATGACTACAAAACTCCCTGTACTTCTAAAACATCCTTTTATAAAATCATAGCGTTTGCAGTATTTGCTGCATGTTAGTTGATCCCCGTGGTGTTGAGCTTCGCAAAATGCTCTGAAGTCAATAACCCTGTATTTATTCATCGTGCACCAGAGAGGTCTTATAATCCTGCAACACCATAAACCAGGCGTTTTATCAAAAACACTAGGCATTTACCTGCCAGGCAACTCCCACCTTTTTTATTTCCCAGGGACATTTCCTGTGTTTGAATTAAGATTTAAAGATGAGTTAGGTGCACAAAAAGCCTGAAAGTGATTTATGATTTAAGCCCTCACAGCCACAGGCAATCATCAGTAATCCTGTCCTTTTGTTCCCTTTGACATTGGCAGAATTGACCGAACCTGTTCGCTACTGCTCTATGAGGCGCTCTTGATTTCAGTGGTTGGTCCTCTTGTCAAGTCCATTGTGGTGGTTGACATTTGTGATGGGTCACTAATTACTTTATTTGCCTCTTAGGGAAAGTGTTAAAAACAGTGGCCTCAGGCTAAAGGTACCCTCAGTAACACACTATACGTGCAAAAGTGATTGTTTTTTGCCCTGACTGTTTTCCCTCTGTAGCAGGTAGACTTAAATTGACGTGTTCTTTTCTTCTGCCATCTTTCCCCCCCTCTCTCTCTATTTCTCTCTCTCTCTCTCTTTCTTTTCTGTGAAACCCCACTGTCACTGGCTCCCCATTAATGGCTAACAGGCAGATCAGTAGCCAGCCGCAGGGGTCCAGACTGACCTTTTAAACCCTCCTGGTTTATTGTTTGCACTGTCAAAGCTCCACGTGCCACCGTCTGACCTCCACTCTCATTCCAAAAGCAGCGACCGTACGACAGCCTCGCAGGCAAAGAGCCGGTAAGAGATGAGAGAAGACGGGGAAGTCAGACGAGGCGCCTTTGTTGTGATCACGAGTGCGCCTGCATTATGTAAATAGTGCTTATCCAGTGCTAATTGCCTCTGCCGCCAGGACGAGCATATTAAACATGAAAGAAACAATTTAGGGCTTTCATAGTCTCCTCAGACCACCCAGAAGAAGACCAGTCGTGGCATTTGAAGGTACCACATGAACAATCTGCTACTGGTATCTCTTTGTCTGCTTTTTAAAAGCCAAGGGAAATAGCAGATAATGAAGGATAGATGGGTTCATCACAACTCAGATCTTATTTTTCTTTCTTTATGTCAGCTGTCGTCGGAAAAAGGAGACAACTCAGCAAGTTTTTGACAAGATCTGTAAATTTAAGAAGTCTGATCCGAGTAAAAGTCAGCTACAATATGGTTTGAATAGAGATCCAACTCTGGGTCTGCGATAGGGCTGGGCGATATGACCTCAAATCAATATCACGATATATTGAGAAGTTCACCTCAATAACGATAACTGGACGATAACTACTCCACAAGCTGCTCACCCCCTCCCACATCAACTTCAGTAAATTTTCAATTTATCGCCCAGCCCTATATTGGCGTACCAGTAAAAGCAAAAATCTTAAAACAACCAGATAAATTATGAAAGAGGTAAACAGCAAGAATTTCAAAATAAAAGCGTACATGAGCGATGATGACGTAGATCAATGTTTAGACTTTCAATTGATTTGATTGGTTCCTTCTTCTGTCTACAAGTATGATGGGGATGTTGCTACAAGATGAGAAAAACAACAATTTGTGTTTTCTGGTGCATTATTTATAACCAAGAAAGTGGTGGCATGGGAATTCCCACCATTAATGCAAGTAAATCCTGAGATACTTGGCCCTGTTATTTAAAGTGATGTGCAGTATATTCTGTACGCACGTCTTGTATTAGTTATACATTTTTTTGTTTTTTTCAACAAAATCAACAAACGAAATTCCCTGGAGAAATAAAAGAGCAAAACATCTGAGGTCTATGGCTATGACAGAATTGTCCAATTTTACATTCAGACAAAAGGAAATTGCTGCATCGCCTTCCTGCCTTTTTGCATGCACTCTGCCTGAGTGCTCCATAAACATGAGCGGGGTCTATTTGTCTATTTCCACATGAATGGCAGGAAAAAAAGGTGTTTTTTATGCCGCTAACTATGAAAACAATGCACCGTGCTTCTCCTAAAAAATACTCTCTCTGCACTGCGAGTACGAGAAGTGAGGTTGGATATTGTCACTTGATTTTTAGAGGGAATGGCTTTGACATTACTCTGGTCAGATTCTTCTTTTTGACCGGGATGACTTTCAAAGCTTGAGCGCAGAAGTGTTGTCCTCAAGAAGACAATCAGGCAGACAGGGTGACAAACAAAGAGACAGAAAGAAAGAGGTGCAGCAGTTGCCCTGTTGTACATTTGGTTGTACTAAGTACCTTTTTAGTGTAGAAAATAGTCCGACTATGCGTCTTTACTCGCTGTACCTCCTGTCTGCCTCACACTCAGCACATTCGGAGGTGTTCCATGACAGTACCTGCTGGAATTTCTTCCGTCAGCATATGGATAGCGCCATTACTCCTTACATCTTTTCACGCCAGCCAGGCCTTTTTGCTGATCTGAGCAGCACATAACACCATCTTACCCCCCTCCTCCCCATCCTCAGCACCCTCCCCAAACCAATTACCAGTTATCACCAAGAAGAAAGCTGTTCATCCATTAGTTATTCATCCACCCGAGTGCGGCTTTTACTCTAATTCGATTTTCTCACTCGATTTTGCATTAAAACTCACTCCAAGATGGCAAGATCTGAAAAGTTAAGCACAGAGATTAACTCGGCTTCTCTCGATCTTTTTAACAAATACACCCTGCATGTACCATTAACCTTGAACAAGCTGATTAAGTTAGCACTTCACTCCCTTCGTGAGTATCAAATCATATTCAAAATCCGCTGCAGACTTTCATAATCCAGCCAAATAGGATAGCGCAATTATCACGCATTCAGCAGTAATCTTTAAGTGATGAAGATGGAAGGTCATATTGATCCTGTTTCATGGGAAAGTGATCATGAGCAGAAAAAGACAGAAGTGGATAATATTACAAACAGCATCAAACAAACAGAAATAAAAAAATGTGAACCGCTAGCCCACAATGTTTCATATGCAGCATCGTGGGACTGCTTAGTTTCCAGATCTGTACGTTTCTCTCTGTTCTGTGAGTGTGAACATCTGTGAGTTAACTTTATTAAAAGGTTGAGAAGCAACATTTCCTTAACATAACAGTGACCAGCAATTTGGAGTGTTGCTAAAGAACATCATAGATCTCTCGTGATCCATTATATTACTCCTAGAAAAGCTATTATATGAAGTTATAATTACTCTCAGGCAGGAGTTTTTAGCTATCTAACTGGTAATTACTTTCATTACTCAGCACAAGCTTTTAATAGGTTTGAATCTTAAAGACTTTTATCAAGTAGTTGCAAACTTTTTAGATGTGTATCCAGGGGCTGTCCACCATTTGAAAACACTAGTTGTGAAGACCCAAACCTCTTTCATACTCACACTATCTGTAAAATACCAAAAGTGCCTTAGTAAGCTGCATGTCTCGATGCAAACAGCAAATTTTTTGACCCGACCTCACCGCAGATTTTTCCCACAGGATTATATGTGCTATAAATTTTAGGGGAGCATATTTTGGTTTTCTAATAATACATGGTTATTAGGGCTGGGCGATATGGCCTCAAATCAATATCATGATATATTGAGCAGTTTGCCTCGATAACGATGAATGAACCGTCCTCCATCTCCTCACCTGTCTTTCCCTCTTGTTTACAGACTGGATGACGTAGGACAGCATCTTAAAGGGACATGAGACCATAGCCTACCTACACACATCCAAAACCAACTTTTATTTATTTATTATTTTGACACTGAATATACAGATATGGACAAATTGACGTTGGTTATTGTCGTAAATTTCGGTATTGGTTAATTTTCGGTTTATCTGCCAGCCCTAATGGTTATTAAAACTTTCAGGAGAAGTTCACAGAAGCCCGTCATTTGTGATAGGTGCACATGTAAAGGGATTACAATCCACGCACAGGTATTTCTGAGTGGCTTTTGAACCTATTGACCAGGCTCCTGGGGGGCTCACAGCAGCCAGTGGGTGTTTGATCCTCACATGGGCCCTTACATTTTCACACAGCCATGGACTCACTACCCCACTTTAAATCCAAACTCAAAACACACCTATTCCAAATTGCATATTCACTTTAACTGTCCACTTTCACACTTGTATGTTGTTTTTATTTATTTTAATTATGTTTCTAATTGTGTTTTTATGCCCTGTACAGTGTCCTTGAGTGTTCAGAAAGGCGCTTTTAAATAAAATGTATTATTATTATTATTATTAACATGATTTCAGTGTCCTATTCTCCACTTATAAACTCTGAGGAGTACCAGCAGCTAATACTAGCACTACAGCTAAACACACACACACAATATGTCAGCTAGATGGATTTAGAGTAGAAGTCCTGTGCCAAGCCCAGATGTGGAACATGGGTAGAACGATATTCGATTGAGTTTCCTTCACCTGTCCTCTGCTATTCAACACTCCCGACATTGGATGTTGGGAAAGTTCATGTTCAGATCCCTTCCCTCTGTGTCCTTGTAAAATAGTTGTCCTTGCACTTGAGCGACTACGACACAAGATTGGACAATAAACATATGTATAAAAAAAAATTGAGATCTATGAATTTTAGAGCAGATTGAAAGAGCTGATGCACTCTGAATGAGTTGCACAATAAAGGGAGTACTCAACACAAGATTGGTGCTCAGAGAAGAAAATTGGCAGAATTCATCAAATGTTCTCGGGGCATAAAACCTCCACCGCAGTGTGTAGGGCCTTTAATGTGAAAAATAACCCAGGGGCCTTGTGGAGTGTGTTTTATGTGGTTAGAGGGTTAAAGGAGGCCTGTACACTGGTTCATGTAGAGATGTTGAGGGGGTTGTCAGATTTCCCTAGTGGCTCTCTCTCTCTCTTTCTCCCTCTTACTCTCTCTCTCTTTCTCTCTCTCTCTCACTCTCGGTTTCATGTCATTGGAGCGTTGCTTTAGTCACTAAGACAGTAGCGCCGACTGTCTGAGAGTGATTTATGCAGTCATAAGGCCTGTACTGTAGCGGACCCTGGCCCGTATTTTATTCTGACACTTATTATTGAAATGAGACATTTGGGTGTAAAGAGGAGCCGAGCTGTCTTCTCACTGAGCGAGGGCGAGGTGGCAGTCATGCTCACATCAAAACTCAGTCTTCCAGCACCGGGGATCACCTCAGGGACTATTTAATTCCACTTCTCTTCTGAACGTTCCCGTTCTCACTTGTACACAGTTTTTTTTATTTATGAAAATGCAAATTGAGTTTTATATGTTGAAAGATGGAATTGCAACATGTTGATGTTGTTGTGTTTGTTGGGGCTGCAATTCACAGCGGCAAGCCGTTAAGGTGCTCTGAGCCAGAAAAGAGGAAGAGTGCAGCAGCAGTCAGTGAGCTGCACTCCCGCCTCACTGTCTTCTTCTGCTCTATTTTTACACAGGTTCAGTTGATAAATAAACTGCAGTGATAGTACAAGGACTTGTTTTTGCCATTCAGGGTCCCAGAGGTATAAAGCCAAGTTGAGTTTCCGGACATTTCTGAAGCTTGCATGGGCTTACATCACTAATAAAAAAGATCCTGGGGAAAGATACTGTTGGATTTTTGCGGATCTCATTTTTAAATCTCATTTTGGCTAGTAGGTGTAGTGTAATGAGGCCCAGGTTCATTATAGGCCATCATCACCCCTGAAGTAGTGGCTGCTGATGGGTTTTCACAATGACAGTCCTGGAAATGCACAACTAAATAAGTAAGATTGTTGTTTTGCTCCTTCTTTCATCACCTGTACTTCGCAAGAAATGGAAATAGCTATTTTTTCAACTTTTCAAGCTTTTATCTGCCAATACTGATGACACAGGGCGTCTCAAAAAAGAAGCATTGAACAGATTTGATTTGAAGGAAATGCTGTTGGCATAAATATAGAGGTTATCTGAAACCTCTGTGGAGTGTTTTTGACTAACGCCCTTAATTCAAGATCCAGGGATCCCTAGCTAAGTACTTTTTTCACTTTCTTTTTCCTTTTTCCTTCCCTTTCTACTGTTTCACACTGAGAAGGACCCAAAAGTTGCCTAAAAGACCACAACTTCTAAGAGACTCTGATTCAGGGAGAGAGATTTAGGAAAGAAGAAGTTGAAACTTTTAAAGAGCTTTTGCTTCGTTGTGGAGGTTTTGTTGAGGATCCTGTTGTGGCTCAACGGCAAATAAAACTCTCAATCAGTTTTTGGCAGTTTGACCCCTGCGCCCACAGCCCACATGTTGAAGTGTCCTGTTGTAATGTGTGAATGTGTGTTGATGGGTAATTTACATAGCATCATGGCCCATCATTGCATCAATGGGGTAGGTGCTTAAAAGGGTTAACTTTATAGTCAGATTGTATGGACTTTGTTTTGAAACAAGGTAACTGGTTTTACAAATATTACTGTAAATAAACTGTTATAAGACCAAAACCAAAATACTCCAATGAACATTTTCTATCTTGTTTAATCTTCACAAAAATGGAAGAGACAACCAAGTTCTGGTTTAGTTTGTTCAAGAGACTTAAAGTTCAGAGAAACTTTGCAACAAGAGTTTAGGATGAAGAGAACTACTACTGTCCCCCTTCCTTGTCATAACTTTGTTTTCCCATGGTACCTGAGAAGACTTTTCCATGTTTTGTCAAGTTTCATCCCCAGCAGATTGGCGTCCCCCCATTTTCAAAGCATATGAGCAACTAGTTTCAGTTTAATTAGTGCTCTGTTGCAGGACATCCTTTTGTAAACTGCCCTCTGCGGTATCTCAGCCTCCTCCAACTCTTTATCTGGTGCTTAAACACACATGATTGGACCCTAAAGCAGAGGGTCATGTTTCCTGTTCCCAAAAGATGAAGAGACAGAACAGGTTTGTAATCAACAGCTGTAAGCTCTGCACTCCTGAGGCTGGATGACCTACATGTTACTCTCCCTCCATCTGCCTGCATACACTTAAAACCCTACAGGCTGCCACTCAAACCTGCAGGTGACGGCACACAGGAGATAGAGATGGTGTTTCTGAGGCCTGCTGCCTGTACAGATGTTAAGCACAACATGCAAGGGTAAATGCCCAGGTTAAATATGAGCCTCTGAAAGCCTTGTTTACCAGGTCTGTGTCGCCAAAGTAGAAAGGTTGACCTTGCTTTATTCACTTCAGCATATTTACAGTCCGACTAGGATACAAGTCAAGACAGACCTTGGCTCTTTGTTCACAGCATAAACTATAAAATTGAAAACAAAAACAATTCATTAGGATTCAAAGTGCTACATTCATGCCATAAAGCAATATATGCGGTTAATTTGAAAGCATAAAAAAGCTAATGGACTATTAGAGTCGACTGCCAGAGGCTGCCTTCTCTCCCCGCTCAAGAAGTACATCAATCAATCCTATCAGTAAACCCCTGCAAGCTGCTGGCTGTGTCTGCGCCTCCTGCCATTGAAAAAGGCCCTCAGCACGAGCAGTGTCAGATGTGGCTAAAGTCGACATCTTAACAGATAAAGCGGCCTCTCTTTTATACCGCTGACACAATTTTCTGCCCCTTGGTCTTTGGAGATACTGATGGGCGGCAGCAGTCAATGAGACAAAAACTCTGACAGAAGAGACGCCTGAGGAGTTCGGCTGAGCTGCTACGTGTTTGGTTTGTGTTTGCCGTCCTGGTACCTGGAGGAATGACGATAACATAGGACACAGATGAGAGGATCTTCAGTTCTGAGATTTGCTAAAGGCGGGAAAAAAAACAAGATGTTTGGTGAAGTTTTCAAGTTTGTTTGCTCGTGAAAGCTCCAGACAGCTCAAAGTAGTGTGATATTTACTGAAGCGGAGATTTAATGCACTCAACTGCGCCACAAAAACAACATTTTTGAATGTCTTTGTCAATACGGGACTCACCCACAAAGAAAATGCAAGAAAAGAAAGGGAGGTTTCATCCTTTGCTACACTCCACTAAGCTGCTTTTGTTTTGGGAAGGCTGTTGGTTGTCTGGGGAGGCTTTGAACAAAAACACATTTCACTTCTGGCTACAGCTGCTGCAGATCCATGTGCAAACAGCCGGCAGATGCGTCCTGGTCCAGTTACTCCATCCCAGCGCATATTTTGTTCCAACTTCACATTTACCTGATCATCTTCTGGCCCAGTTATACAGCCAATGATCCCTCATGAAAACTCCCCATTGCTTTGTTCCAGATCAGTAAGATAATTCATGTTGACTCTGTGCGTATGGAGAGCTTCTCAGAAGCTGCTCTGAACCTGGTAAACACTCCTGCTGCTGCTGCTGCTAAATAATTTGTTACAAACAGATTTTGTTTACCAGCGTGTGCTGATGAATGAATATGTATCTGCATACTTTGTGTACTTCTTGTGAAACAACACCAAAATATTTGTCATGAACCGACCGTACCGACCGAGTGTAGGCATGAGGTGTAGGGAATAAACTGTGTTTGATTTTGTAAAGGACAAACGCACCTTGGGAATAAAGCTGATTGCAAAAATAACTCATTAAAATTTGACAGTTTTGGTCGCCTTCAGCATCTCAAAGCATTCTAGCTACAAATGCAGACAGTAAAGATGCTCAGTATGAACTACTCTGGCAGACTAGTACATATAATAATAATGATAATAATACGTTTATTTCTATAGCACTTTTAAAAACAGAAGTTTACAAAGTGCTTTGACATGTAGTCATAGAGCACATGGAAAAAGATAAAAACAAAAAGCTCAGTTAAAACGGAATTGAAGGACATTTTCATGTCAGAAGGAACCCACACAATACAAGAACCATGCAACATATAATGAGACCATGAGGACCAAAATAAAATAAAAAACAGTAAGAAAAAAGGAAAATGCAATTAAAAGGGGGGACGAAAGCGGAAACAGGATAGTATATAAAAGGCAATTTCAACAATGATAATAAAATAATGACAGGTAATACTGATAATAATAGTAATGATAAAATAGAGCAACAGAAATGAGCAAGAGATACAACAATAAAAGGCCTAAAGGGTACAAGTTTAACAAAAGCTAAAAAGACAGTAAAGCCTAAATAAGATAGAGGTGAAAGAGATAAGAGACGACAGATAAAAGATAAAGATAAAAGATTAAAGACGCCATCACATAAAAGCAAGTCTGTAAAAGTGAGTTTTTAAATATGACTGAAAAGAAGCGACTGTCTCTGCATGCCGTGCCTCTTCTGGCAGGTCGTTCCAAAGTCGAGGAGCTCTGATGGAGAAAGATCTATCACCTTTAGTTCTGAGTCTCGACTTTGGAACAACCAGGAGGCCTTCGCCAGAGGATCTGAGGCTGCGAGTTGGCTCATATGATATTAAAAGCTGTGAAATGTAGCTTGGAGCAAGTCCTTTGAGTGCTTTAAAAGTAATCAATAAAATCTTAAAATCAGTTTTAAAACTGACAGGAAGCCAGTGAAGGGAGGCTAAAATTGGAGTGATGTGATGCCATCTACCAAAACCAGTTAAAAGCATGTCTGTTATCTACAGACAATGGAGATAATCTGTTGTTATCCGATGAAACGACTGATGATAGCTGCTGTTATTCCAACACAGTAGGTGGTGGTAAGCTGTCCAACATTAAGCACAGAGAACTGAAATTTCAAAAGACAGAATGTGGAAAACATGTTGATAATTCCTCGATATGAATAATTATTGGGTATCAATATTGCAAAAAAAAATAAAAGAAGAATCCATATCATCCATCTCTAATCACAGGACATCTGGAAGACTGCACCGACGGGAAATCTTCTCCTCTAAATATCTGGGAAGCTGCAACCGGGCTTATAGAGACCCTTCCCATCTGTCATATAGAACTACAGATCCCAGGAACTAACACCACTCGGCAGTGTGTTAGGCTGGATATACATCAGCCAAGGATGGCAAAGTCCCTCATGCAGGAGTTAAAGCTACTTAATATTCCTATGTTGATTGGAAGATTAATTGTTCCATCTGGCTCTCATGAAAACCAGTGAGAAGGAGAAAAACAAAACCCTCCTCTTTTTCCTAATTTCTTTCCTCTTGTTTCTTTACAGTCATGGCGTAAGGGCTAGCAGGCAGTGAGGCTCCTAAAAGAAGGAGCCTGGGCTGGACAAGTGCTACCAGAGGGAGAGCTGGGAAATTTGATCATTTTTCTCTGGGACTGTCATACGCCATAGGCTGCCTCATTTGTCTACTCCAAATCCTTTGTTTCCAGCAGGCTCCCTGTTCCAGGATTAGCCTGCGGAGCGAAACACAAGCAGGAAAACACCACAGAGAGGGAGAGAGAAAGAGCGAGAGAGAGAGAGAAAGAGAGACAATCAAAGGAAATTTAAAAGCTAATTATTATAGTGCTCCATGTTTCTTTAATACAGTACTTAACTCTAATGTACGGGCCGCTGTATGTAATACCTGCTGACTGGGCAAAAAAGCAGAATGAAAGCAGGTCCGTGAGGCGTGTGCGGGGAAGGAGGGATGAGGAAAAGCTGCACGACAGCACGTTTATTTTTCCCCCAAATTGCCCCGCAGTTCCACAGGAGCGTTGTTGACCCAGTTTATCTCCCGCTCAGGTGATTAATGCAGCAGCGCTACAAACAAAGGTCACATCAAGAGGCAGGGGAGTGGGCCAGGGTACAACAAGAGCTAAGGGAGTTATATACGGCTATGGCTAAGGCTGAGAAAATAAGGTGGTTTTTGTTTTGTTGGGCATCACTCAGTCTCCAGAGAGGGAGACACACAGTGAGAAGTGAAAACAATAAAGCAGACACAAACACAAACTCACATGGGAATGAAGCAGAATCCACAGAATCATTATTATTAAACTGCTCTCATACACTTTTTAATGTTTTTTATGTGCTAGTAATGATGTTAGCCACGTGGAGTGTGTTAAATTGAACGAATAAATTAAAGGGGCTCCCCTGATTGTATAAGTCGTCTAGAGAGACCCTTTAAAGTAAGAATGACCCTGGTGATGTCATCAGGGGTGTCAAAGTGGTATTTAAAATGCATTATAGGCGGTGTAGCACCCAACATTTTAAAGCCTCTCTACCTCTACTTTGTGTTTGTCTTGGATGCAGCATATTGGGAGACCCCCATGATAACAGAGGTGCAGTAAAAATTGCTCAGGGAGTAAGGACACAAGTGGAAAGCACATGGACCCAAACCTCCTCCTCGCAGCAGCTGTGGCAAACACAGCCAACCTTTGTAATCTGGACTGAAAGTCAAATACAGTAATCCATTGTTGAAATCCATGTTCAAATCAGCTGGTAGGGCTGGGCGATATGGGAAAAGTTAATCACAATATATTTTTTTCATATCAGTTGATATCGATATCATGATTTGAAAAATGAAATTTTACAGGTTTATAGGTAGCATGTCTTTTGCAATACAATAAGCTACTGCATCTGTGAGGTCTTTGTGTCTCTTTGATGTTTTGTCGAAGGGTGTTTCGGCTGCACAGGCACCATGGGCTCCTTGCTCCGCTCGGGGTTTATAACCTTTTGCATTGCGCATGCTCTGCCGCGTGGCACTGCTTCAGGTGGTGAAAAAGATTTGAGGTATTCCCCGACTTTGTACTCGACATAATTTGCAGTGCACATTATTCGGCTTCATGTCTGACCTCAAAAAACCAAAATACCTCCACACCACCGAGGTTTTGTTGCCAGTGTTGTCGACAATGTCGTCATCTGTTGAACCTTTATCTGCATTTCTGCTGTGGGTAGCACTCATCTTCTTTTTTTTTTTACCGACAGTGCTGTTCGCGTCCCGTGTTTAAGTGCTATGGTTGCGTGTAGCTGCAGCCTGCTACTATGCTGTTGTTTGCTACTTGGTGCTAATTTAACACATGATTGGTCCGGTGCGAAGCAGACCTGGAGCAACTCCTCTTTTCATTGGCTATTCGTATAGTCTACCAAAACATGACAGAATGTTGACTATCGAAAAGCATATTGATCATGTTTTATTTTGATATTTAGGGAAATTAATTTTCGATTTATATCATTTTCATTTTATCGCTCAGCCCAATCAGCGCGATAATGTTGGTTAACCCTCTCAACTATAGGTAATATAGTTATTTATGTTAAGTTATGTAATCAATCTGTCATATCAGACATTTCACATCTCATCTTTTAAATTATTTCCAGGTCACGGGATACTGAAGCTGAGAACCACATAGTGTACTTTTATTGCCACATATTAATCTGCTGAGTCGAAAGTAATCTGCTCAGAGACACAAACTGTCTGGTGTTGTATCTGTGATGGGGAGTCACCCAGAAACGAAACATGTATCTAGACATATTTATTAGGAAAAATAAAACATTCATGCTGAGCCTGACTTTTCAAAAGATTTGTGCTGTCAGGTTCTATTGATCCTCGGCTCCGGCTGAAAACACTTTGAATCATTTCTCAAAGTGTAGAAGGCGTCACATTCAGAAAAAAATGTGTAAGAGAAAAGGCACAAGTGAGAAATCAATGCTTTAAATTCCAGGGTCGGGAAGATAAACTCTCGGTAGGAGCGCTCCGTTGGCCTCTGCATCTTTTATGCTCATTTAAGGGCACACATACACAGCGCCACTGCTTCTTGAAACTGTTGAGTGCTTGTAAATTTTGGTCATTTTATTACGCTCTGATGTGTTTTTATTTCCATCACCGTGTTGCATTTCAAAACCAGTTTGTGATCTGGGCTCTGAAACACTGCTGCTGTTTAGTTTCCCAGGCTTTTATGTGTTCCCCCACAGCTGACACTTGTGAATATATGTTGGCTTTTTCTTCTCTGGTTATCATTTAAGCTAATTTGAGTCTGCTGTGCGGGCAGAATGCTCCACTCCAAAACCATATTTAAATGCAATTGCAAATGTAATTATGGAGTGTCTACCTTAATTCCTCTCAGCGGTTATCTAAATTATAATCTCTGGTTTCAGCGTTTATACCAAAGCACATTCTCTGAGGTATGGTTTCTCTTCCAAAGAAATTACTGATGTTAAATGAAGCAATGATTTTCTTTATACGTGCCAGCTGTAGTGCAAATGGTTTTCAATCTGCCAGAAAATCCAGTCCATTTCGTGGAGATGAGTTTGAAGATGGACTGAGTGAACAGAGAGGCCATTTGGGCTTTGATCTAACATTCACGTAATGTTGCATCAAACGGTGCTTTTGTGCCAGTGTGTATGTCCTTTCCAATGTTGAATTCATGAAGATTTCTTTTTATGTCGAGAAGATATTCAGGGAAAAATTTACATTTTTCTGTGAATGCATTGACCGTGAGAATGGCCCGAAAGGGAACAGCGCTGCCTGTTACATGATCTGATGTGCAAACCTTAAATCCGTCAGACCGTGGATTTCATGGTTGTAACCATCTAATGCAAAAAAAAAAAAAAGCTTTAACATGATTACGGCTTTGCTGTCCTACACGAAGGACAGTGTATAGTGTTTTCTTCAATCTGGATTTCTCTTTCACTCAGCTTTCACTGTGATTTAGTCTCGTCTGCTAGTTTCTGTGCCTCTGTCTTCTTTCCTCTGCTGTTGACTCGCCCATTATTAACCACAAATCTTGATCTTTTATCCCTTCAAACAAATTTAGAGTATATAAAAAAAAAACCTCTTTGTTGTTTACTTAGTTTATCAGACACCAACCTTTTTGCTATACTGTCAACAGGAAGAGGTGAAATTAGGGCTGGGCGATATGGCCTCAAATCAATATCACGATATATTAAGCAGTTCACCTCGATAACGATAAATTGACACTAACTACTCCACAAGCTGCTCACCCCCTCCCACATTAACTTCATCTACTTCAGCCACCGCTCCAGCCACTCCAACTTTTGAACCATCCTCCATCTCCTCGCCTGTCTTTCCCTCTGGATGGAGTGGAGTCATGTCTCTGATGTAGGACAGGGTCTTAAAGGGACAAGAGATTATAGCCTACCTACACACACCCAAAACCAACACCAAATATACCGATACGGGCAAAATGACGTTGGTTATCATTGTAAATTTCGGTATCAGTAATTTTGCGGTTTATCACCCAGCCATTGGTGAAATCATAAACTTCAAAATCTGCTTGACTCCTTTGAGCAGATTTATTTAATGTGGGATATAGCTGGCCTTGGCATTCCTCTTGCTGTTTACAATTGATAACTGACGTGAAGAAATCTTGAATAATCAACAAAGTCAGGTGATTTGTTTAGAGAGCAAGGTGGTAATTTTACACAAAGATTCATATTCAAAATGACTCCAAACTGATAAAGCATGAGGAGGTGAAGCAACAGTGAAGCAGTGAGGATGCAGAGCACAGAGTTGTTGAACACACTCTGAATAAGTACCAAAGATTTATCTGGTTGAATCATTTAGAAAGACAGAGGTCATTGACCTGCAAATCCACTTTCTGCTTGCTGGAGGCTCTGTTTTTTCAGAGTTTTAAAAACATTCTTCGACACGAAACCTGAAATTTAACTTAGTATAAAGAGAGTCAGAGCAAGAATGAAGGAAATATTCACGGCATCTTGGGTTTTCTCTGAGCCTTTAGCCTGGTGTCACACTGACAGAGAGCTCTGCTTTGGCTCTGTATACAGAGATTTAGCCAAAGCACCAAGGTTAACTCTGTGTCAACAATGGCTCATCTGCCACCGACTGTTTCTATAGCAACAGTCAACAAAATAACGCACAAACTATAAGGCACTGGGAGTTTCATAAAGCAGAAAAATAAACACAAGTTCTTTTTTCCCTTGTCTCTCTCTCTCTCTCAGGTGAATGGGAAGGAGTTGTCCAAGTCCAGCCATGAGGAGACCGTGGAGGCCTTTCGCCCTGCCAAGGACCCCGTCTTGGTGCAGGTCATCAGGCGGACCCCGAGCGGCCGCCCCCATGGCCCCCCTCAGGAAATCCATGTGGTGGATGTGTGCACTCAGACTGATATCACCTTTGAACACATCATGGCGCTGGCAAAGCTCCGGCCTTCAACTCCTCCTGTGCCTGACGTCTGTCCCTTCCTGCTCTCTGACAGGTACGAACAACACGACACCTCAAGGTGCTTTTTTAACACCTCTATAAATAACCTCAGCGAGGCTCATTTAGGTTGTTGAAAACACTTTTTTTAGGCCAGATAAATGCTAATCAGGATGAATGTTGATTAAAAAAGAAAAGGACAGTTCGAATAATGTCACTGATATAATTTTCTCCAATTTGTTCTGCTGTGACAAAGGATTTCGGTTCAGTGCCACAATGAGTTTGTTGTTGTTGTTGTGTCCTTGCTCTGACTTTGGCTGGGACTCATAGTAATTAAAAAGAGGGGAAAAAAAAGAAGTGAGAAATGTTATTGAGCTATGAAGCAGAAATATCAGTGTTTGCAGGATTAGCATTACAAGTATGCAAGGCGCCTGGGAAATAAAAAATGAATTGTCTTACCAGCTGCACAGCGCTTTCTGACAAATATAGATTTGTATGATGAATGAGCTTCACAACGTCCTTCACGTCTCCTTTTCACAAACAGGACACTTGAAATTAAAAAACAGAGGAATAAAGACCGGGCTAAGTGGTCCTAATTAACATTAATAGGGAATAAATGTTTGAAGTGTGTGCGGCATTTCCATGCTAAGTTTTTTTAAATCAATAAGTAGATAAACACTTGAGTAGAAAAACATTGAGATTGAATGTTGTAAGCAATTAAAATCTATCAAACACTTAGTCAAGTGTGACAGCTTCAAGCCGTTTCGAATACACGATCATCTGGATGGAGTTAAGATGTAGAAATCGTCCTACATGACTTGAACACAGCACTGACGGAATCACAGAGTGGAGAGTTGTGATTGGCTGGCTGTTGCAAAAAGAAATGACCTTGAATGCGGTCACTATGATCCCACATAGAGCACTCTGTCTGTAACTCTGCTTCTGTATGATGGAGGACCTTATTTCAGTTCCCTCTTAAATTTACTCTTTTGATTCAATGACTGATCCCATGAGATTTGTGTTGTATTAACATCAGAAGGTTAGTTTACTGTGTCTCTAATGGATCACTGAATACTTGAGACTAGATTTCTCTTTTTGTTGTGAAGCCGCTCTGTAACAGTTTGGGAATGCGATAAGAAAAGACACAAGATAATAACAAACTTGTTTTATGTTTACCTTTATGGCTATAGCTGTCAATTTGCATGTGAAGGACAAATTAAGGATTTCATTAGCTCGTGTTTTATTTGCACATTTTGGTTTGTAACTTACAAGTGAGTCAACGAGAAGTCATGTCATCCCAATTTGACTACAACTTTTTGCAAAATTGACCAAAATCAAGCATCAATCAATCAATCAATCAATCAATCAATCAATCAATCAATCAATCAATCAATCACAGAAAAAGCTTGTTAAATCCCGAGGAGATTGATAGATTGATACTCCACGTGCCTCCAGTCTCTCCAATCAAACATATTTGTCTGGCTTAAATTTCTCTGAATTAAGAGGACGTAAAAAATATCATCAGGCTCTTTTTATTGCAACGAAGAAAAAAACATGTGTGGTAAAATCTCAAAAAGTCTAATTATCTCTGCTGGATACTGGGAAGAACAATACCTCAAAGACTTGTTTTATTGTTCATGCAAAAGGAGGGCCTTTAAAAAATGCACTAGAAAAGATCTTGAGAGTATTGACTTGAGAGTTATTTTGGAAACCAACAAGAGAAACAGGGTTTCGCAGTTTTCGTTTATACTGTGTTCATCTCAAAGGACATGCAAACTCTTAGCTGAGGAGAATATCTGGGTTTCAGCTCTTGGGAATGAAATAATGAAGCAACAACAATGCCGCACAGAGCTGGGAAGTCAGGACACTCTTAGTAAACTGTGCGTGAAAGTCAGAGTAGGAGAGAAATCCCCCCCAAAAATGCTAAATATCTTGAATTCACTGGAGACTTGTTTAGATATTTACAAATGGAATTTCAGTCAGCTGCTCCATCTGTTTGCTCATTTATAAAAGCATCATAAAAATGTGTGTTATTGTCAGCATTGCTCAAAAGGTATAAAATGGCATTCACGATCCAATCAAAACCATTACCACATGTATGTATCTAACCCAGTATCACCATAGAAATCCCCATGGGGCTCTCCTGCCATAATTGGAGCATCCATTTTGACTCAGGGACGGTTTACAAGGTGATTAAAGCAAATGGGCTTATAAAAAACTAGGCAACGGTGGGAAACGTGTGCTCGCAGGCTACTTACAGCCCCAGGCCAGGCCCAAATGTAATCAATGTGTCCCATAAAACTCACATTTTCCTCTCTTCATCTGAGATCAGGTGCACAACGCAATATACAGCAGATTTTATAGATGCAACAAATGTTTGTAGCTCTTATTTTGGAGGCGACGTTGTAAATTTGTAATTATTTTCTACTTCCCAGCATTGTTACACGTGCAGCACTGAGGCATCAGAGTATAAAGCGTTTTTGACGTTTACCAGTCTGGTTTTGTGACAGTGAGATTGTTTGGGAACAGTGTAACAGTGGTGGGTAATCTGAGAGTCAGACAGCCCCTGAACACATCACTCAACATGTTCAACAGCGTGTGTTTTATTTTTTTCAAAGTTTTTGTCCATTGTGATTATCTCGTGTTCTGCTCATCTTGTTAGGCCCTCACAATGTGGTTTTGTTCAGAGACTGAAGGAACCATAATAGAACGAAATTGTACAGTGTGGGGGGTTTTGTCTGTCAAGAGCAGGAAGCAAATCATGCTCATATGCTGTTATTATCAAGGGGCTGTACTTTTATCGCACGCACTCTAGTGACAGTCAAAGCCCTCGACAAATCCTTTATTCTTCAGTTTCCAGCAAAGACAAAGGCGAGGAAATCCTGTCACTTAGAGGTGCTGAATGCTTATGAAAGAAAATGCGAAGAAGTATTTTTACTAATGCACATTTCTCCACCTTTTCCTGTCCCTCTGCCTTCATTTCACCCTGACAGCTGTCACTCTCTCCATACAATGGACCAGGATTACTATGATGGGATGGACTACCTTTCACCTGTTCCAGCTGATGGAGACAGGGCAGAGGAGTTTGAGTATGAGGTAGGGACCACACTTTACAGCACTGGTTTTTCACAACTGACAGATAAAATGTAATCAGCTATGTAAGCTTATTACTGAGAGCCTATCGCCCACGTAGGAAGTGGTATAGTAGTGATGTGGAGAGTCAGTGTGGCAGGAAAATCTGTTTAAAACACAGTAGTTTTTCAATTAAGATATTAATTTATAATTCCAGCATACTAATTAATTATATCACATAGGGGTGTCCCGATACAACCTTTTCACTTCTGATATGATACTGATATTGTAGCCTTCAGTATCGGCTGATATCGATATTGATCTGATTTAAGCACAAACTTGTGCATGACATGTTTTGCACTCAGCTGCAATGTCTTTCTTGGACTTTAACGAAAAATATGATGAGGTAGAGTCTGGAATGGACTGCTTGTATTGGAGTGCTGATATCAGAGATTTTAGATGCAGGCCGATATAATCTGATATTTGTTTTTTGGCTGATATCGGACCAATTTCCAATATCAATACCATATCAGGACAGCCCTTATATCACACAGATTAGGACACTAATATAATGCTAGATTGATATACAGGTGTGTGTAAGGGCTAAAATGCAAAAAGCAGATTGTGTTAGAAAGTATAACTGTCTGCAGTAACTTCAATGAATATTCCAGAAACCAGAATTTGTCAGGCCTTCTTAAAGTCTCTCCTTATGTGAGGGTTATGTTAATAAGATGATATATCTTAATTGGTGAGTTTTACAAGGATGTGTTTCTCTTTTGCTTTGGGAATACACCCACCAAATGTCTCCCTTTGTCATAACATTCAATCTAACTAAGGAAAAAAGGGAAATTGAATATCCTTCTTGCAAGGAATCTTGATTTGTCATTTTGAAATCCACATTTAAATGTCCTGAATGAAGCAAAACTAGCTCCAGTTTAGGGTGGTACAGATGAACTGCAGTTGTGTGCGTCCATGGAGCCCAGAGAAAAGGTTTTACCAAGCATGTTTAAAAAATTATGAATGGATTTTAAATGTGCCAGGGCTTCAAAGGATGCTCATCAAAACTATATTGATCTGTTTATTTCTATGTGTGTTTACTCAAAAAAGAAGTTCCAACTAATATAATGTTAAAGATTTTTTTTCTCTCACTGTTATTGATGCAGACTTAGGTCTCAAAGTTTATTATCAGCAGAGCTTTACTGCTAACAAAGAACCTTCTTGCTGAAACTGCTGAAGACATTTTTACACAGAATTACAATCATGTGTGCACACCCTCTGCTGACCTCTTCAACACATGGACACACACTCCCTCAGCACTCCGTATTTAATGATGCTTAACAATTGGTAGAAGGACCTAAACACTAATTGACTCTACAGGCAGATCCCAGAGGGGACAGTAGTGACAGATGATCAGCCACATTGCAGAAAGCTTGAAAAATCCCCCTTTTTTTTCCAGCTGGCACTGGTGACAAGCCTCCAGGTTTGGGCTTTTTTTTTCTTACCAGACAAAGAAAAAAAAGTAAAAAAAAACTTTAGAGAGGCTGTTTTCTTAATGTCTACTGAGTATTTTCACAACTCTGGAAGAGAAGGTTGAGGAGCTTGTTAACGCTCTGCTCGATAAAAACCAATTAAAGTAAGGTGAGTTTGTCAGGTGCAGTAGAAAAAAAAAAAAAGGTTGAAACACATTTTTTTACTCCTGGATCGTCAGTGGAGTGAAAGTAACAGAAGCTGTTAGAAAGGTGATGTTATTAAAGCTGTTGAGCTCTGACACATACAGATATACATAGATGCACTGATTCAACTGTGACGGGGGGAGAGATAAGCAGACTCTGTCACCTCTTGCCGCTTTGGTCCAATATTCTTTATTTCCGAGTCATTGAGGTGCGAGCGTATTGAAGGCGAGGGCTCCGACTGGTCTGATGTATGAGGATTGCTCACCCCCTCCCTCTTCTTATTTGTTTCATTTGAATTTTCTCTGCACGCTTCCACCCACTGAGCTTGAGCTGTTTCCTCACATCCTAAAAGAGATCTGTGCACCCGGTTGGATCGCAGACGCCCCAGTGTCAAATCAGAACAAATATAATATATTAAAGCCTCTCTTTATGCCTCATTGCTATTAACAAATCCTATTATACTGAGTGTGCTTTGCAGCCTTCACCGTTTTTATTTCATGCTCGGGGAGTTTGATACCGTACTAATGTGGACTCACTTACTGTATGTCAACTGAAAACACTGTGAGGGGGGATGTAAGCGGAAGCTAAAAAGCCACTAGTCGAGCCGAGCTGATCCCTCACTCCCTGCTGACAAAGAGGAAGAGAATAAAAGAAAGACATTTCTTTAAATTACCTTTTGTCAGATGAAAAAGCTCAGCAGGGGAGAGCAGGTTGCCATCACATCACAGGAAACCATCGAAATCTAATTCACCTTTCTAATACACCAGGACATTGATGTTTCTGTTAGGGTAATCAACGTGTGAGAGTCCTGATCACTGTGGGTGATGAGGTGGAGAGATGCCAGATGCCTCCAAGGTACATATTCTTGTCAACTGTATCATTTAGAGCCATAAGTGCTGATGTAAAAACTTATTTTCCTGGATTTTAGTGGGTCCAGAATTCATCCCAGATTGCCTTTGGTTCTTGATGCAGTATTCAGTGAAACATCAAAGAAAGGAGACATCAAAACACTTTTTGGCTATAGAGTTTATAAATCATATATAAATATAAATATAAATATATATATAGTGTGGCCATATAACAGTATGACCTAAGCTCTAGAACTGATATCACTGCCCATCAACATGTTAGTAGCGGCTTCAACCAACACTGGATGCACGCTTTTGTCTACATGTGTCACAAAAGGAGCTCCTGCAGATGATTTTGTAGCACAGCATTACCTTATCCAACTCAAAGGGACGTTTTTTTTGTCTCATTGAGGTTTTTTTTTACTTTTGAGGCCTGCAGTTTGAGTCTCCTCCTAACTTTTACCAGCCCTGTGTTAGCGCCAAGACAGCCACAACAGTAAGAAGCCAGTGTAAAGAAAGAAATACCTGTGAAGTTTATCTTTGCTGAGTTTACTATGTCTATGAAAGTGGTGCAGAAATAAATGGACTCTTTGATGGCAAAGTAAACAGCTCACAACAGCTTTTCTTACACCAACTACAGTCTTCAGGGATTTTCTTACATTGACAAAATAAGGGGGTAGAGTTGACCCCGTCTGCAGTGGTAGAAGGTCCAGCTCAAAAGCCGGTTTTTCATCACAGGGACCAAACTCTTAAGTATCTTCCCCAGGGGTTACACACTCACTTTAGACATGTAACTCATATAACCCTGATTTAAAAAAAAACTGAACTATCCCTTTAAACAACATGTAAATTAAAAAATGTGTGACCATTATGAAAGATTAGAGAAAGCCTGTGAATGCAGATAGATTTTTGTTTTGTTTTGTCATGTGGACACAGTAAAAGGATGGGTTAACGGAGATTCCTGGCAGTGGGTTTATTAAGAGATGAGTCAAAAAAAGTACTCTAAAAAAATAAAGCGATTTTGTGCTTTTTACCATTAAAAAATAACAGTGACATGGTGTGCAATAACTAGCATAAAAAGGATGTAACATCAAATTTGTTATTTAGTATTTTTTCAATGGTCAGGGCTGAAGTTCTTTAAGAGATATGAGTAAAAAAAAAAGTTAAAAAATATTATTGTATGAACATTTATCTGCATGTCCATTTTGGGGACAAAGGAGGCTGGATGGAACTTCAAATTAACAGGAACCAAGGGTTGAAGACTGAAGACAAGAAGAGAGAGTACTGCTGTCACTTCGCGAAGCTGGATTAAAATGTAACACCAAACTAAAAACTCAATCAAAGTCTTACTTGCTCAAAAAAGATGTTGAAATAAAAGTAGCTTCTGAACATTTGTAAATATGGCAAAGGTTTTTCTGTTAAAAATAGCTACAGGCAATTAGTTTCTATTGAATGTTCCTCCTTCATGTCCGCGGGTTGTATCTATTATCCCTATTTAATGAGTGCGTTTCCTTGCGTTGAATACCAAAGACAGGTATCATCTGTACATTTCCAGATCTGCAGACAATAGTTGCTGGAAACCAGTAGTCATGCAACTTAAACCCTCTCTGGTGCATCTCTCCATCCTGGACCTTTCTCACACATTTTTATCTTTTGCAAAACCTTGAAATTTGGCTTGAAATAAGTCACGCTTCAGTTAATAAGCTATGGAGAGAGTTTGTGAGTGAAAATATTCAGCATATTGCTGCTCAGCTAATTTATGTGTTCATTGAGTTGGAAAGTAGGGGAAGTTCTCCAAACAGAGTCAGGACTGTATAGGACCGTAAAATGTACTGTATCTTCTCTCTTTGATGTGTGAGGCCGTTCCTTACAGCGAGAATTTCACACAGAAAACATCATACATACATTCCCTATGATGCCTCGATGTGTCAGTTCTCTTTGCTTTCTTTAAGTTCCCTGAAAGGAGGGAAGTACTTGAAACTCAGAGGTAGTCTTCACCCTCTTCCTGCCGGCAGTCCATGCATTTGTGACTGCTTTTTCAATTACAGGTAATCAAAGGCGTGATTATTATGACAGCATCCAATGTGCTTTGATGGTGGGCGGCAATCTTCCCCCTAATCACGCCATCGCAGTCATTAATTTACTGTCAGCCCTCTTCCCTGTGCCACGCCGCAATCTCCTGGCTGAGAGGCAGAGAGCCCGTCTGGAAAATGGAGTAGAAGTAAGAAAAAAAAATCAAAAGGAGAGAGGAGAGACAGAGATTGGTGAATGCGTGTTTGATGGATCAGTAGACAACCTGCTTTTACTGAAGCTTCTGAGTGTGTGTGGGTGTTTTTTCAACACAATTTTGTCTTTGAACAAAACCAAGAACATCTGGTAAAAAGGGCTTTTGTGTGTGCAGCATATAGACACACACAAATACACCAGCCCTCATCTCAAACAATGTATTTCCCATCAAAGCAGTTAATTAGACAGAGGTAACTTCAGTCTGGTTTCATAGATCTGATGTAGTACCTGCTCACACCTCAGCTTTACAGTTAATTTGTGTGATTTATTTTTAAGCGGATGTCTCTGAGACATCGCCGGTGATTTCAGTTTTTCCCACAGATACCCCACAACTTCACACATCATATTAGCATGCAACATGCACGCTGTCTCCACAGCTCCCATACCTCCGTGACTGCTTCGTTGCATCAGGAGATGTGCTGCTTTAATAACATCTCCGGCAACAATAACGGTGGTAGCTCATTAGTAACATTTTTAATACAGCTAATGACTGATGTTTTTGCAACTCATTTTGTTCAGGTAGTCATCACCAAAGCTTCTTCCTTCTCAGACTGTCTGTGCTAACGCATCAGCCGGGGATTTCAGGTTGTCATCTCTTCTGAGACAGTCAATTAAAGATCTGAGCTCGGCGTCAGGTGGAGGTTGTCGGGGAAGATAAAACCACCGAGCTCAGATTATGTCAGTTTTCTTCAGCTCTTTTTACTCCGCGCCTGTATGGAAGTGTGCACTCTGCTTAGTGAACTTGTGTGTGAAAGCAGAGGGATCATGCAGGGATGCAGCACCTCTTTTAGTTTGTGTGGAGGTGTGTGGAGCCTGGCAGAAGCAGATCCCTGATCCAAAAACACTTCGGCAATCTGTCAACGTGTGAGAAAAGGCAGAGGTAGAGAAACGTGGGATGAAATGAGTGACAGGGGAGAGGGAGAAGATGGGAATTGGGCCTAAAGATGTGTCTTTGTGTTTATATGTGTGTGTATGAGGAAGTGGGGGGTCATAAACAGCTTAGGAGGGGTTGAGGGAGGCACCAGGTGGCTGCTCTCTAGCCGCGGTAATGGCCGTTTTTCCCCCCTCATCTCATCCCACCCTGGTCAGACTTCACGACTTCCCTCTCCATGTCCACTTCCCAAAGCCCTGCCACATCTGACACGTGTAACCAGCCAACCCACACTTGTCACAGAGGAAATGAATCTCTCTGTTTCTGCGCGAGACCCCTCAGAGCCCCGCCAGAGCCCTGCCAGAACCCGCCCCTCCTCGTTTCTCTCTGCCCCCTCCTTCCATCCTCCTCTCCACTCAACCAGCTCGCTCCTGCTGCTGAGAGTTGGTGTGTTTCTGCTCTAATGAAGACTTTGGGAGGAGAGGCCATTTCACACTTGATTCCCTCCAACACCCTTGATATGTTTCAGCATTAGGAAATGGAGCAAAGGCTCAGGCTGCACCTCTGTTGTGGGGAACTGGGAGTGCAAAGTCAAAGTAGTGTTTGGTCCCATAGTCAGAACACACTTTGGTTATTAGATGGTAGGAACTGTGCCTCATATTCAAGCTCCAGCTGTGGTTAATCAAATCTAACTGTCTGTGTGTTTGTATTTATGAACTTAGATAAGGAATTCATCCTGACGCTAGGGTGTTCTGCCGTGTTCCAAGAGACTCATGGGAAATTTGACGACCACTGATTTGTAAGTCAATAGTTTGTTGATCCCTCCCCTCGGGAAGATGCGGAATACTTCAGCGCTGCGGCAGATATGTATATTTGCGAGCATTAGCATAATTACAGTTTATTTATAGTCTAATATTCTAAAACTTGGCAACAGCTTGAGAGGAAAGAAAAAAAAAAACCCACTCCAGCTCCTCTGACATTTATCAAAGCTCCGCTGATCAGACTCTGCAGGCTGAGAATGTCTTTCATGATCAAACACTTTCACACTCAAAAAAAGCTCAGAAGAGTTGGAAACCAGACGCAAAACAAGCAGGATATTTGTGCTGAAAGTTGAGGAATATTGTTGTTTGATCTTTCACTGAGGCAGACACTCAGTGTGTGTGCTTTCCCATTGTTTCCCTGCATATCTTTTTCTATGATGATTTATGTGGCAATTCAGATAAAACGCAGTTTCTTTATTTTGAGGTTAGAGAGGTCCTCCATCTGCAAAATAACATTGATGAAAGATTCATTCATTAGCTGCTCTGGAGCTTTCAGTCCTATATTTTCATCTTACTAAGGAGACGATTATATGCAGTCTTTATAAAATTTAAATGAATTGAGTTTCACTTTTAAAATCTTTAAAGTCTTCCTTTATATGTTTTCTTAAAGTGCTCATAAAAATGGAGATTGGACCAAATTCAGTCTCCACTTGAATCACCTCAAGTCAAACTCTAAAGAGAACATCAGTAATGATTATTCTTTTGACAACAAACTGCTTATAAGACCAAAACGTCACTAATTTTCAATAAATCCATTCATGTCTTACTTCTCTTTATCCAGGAGTTACACCATATGGTCATTGGTTAGTTGGTTAGTTGGGTTATTGATTTCAACCTAGCGTGACATTTGGGAGGTTGACTGTAAAAGTACCTGATGGGTTACCATCAAAGTCTGTATTATAAATGGATGAAATGTCTGTGACGTCACCTATCTGGCAGATTTTGAAGCCTAGTGGCGGTGGTCGCTTTACTGGTGATGCTGGCTCAACCTCACTAATGGTCAACCTAATAGAGGCGGGACTTAAACCGCCTTGCAAGTAGCTATTTTTTGCTCAACTGTCAGTCAAGTCGGCCGTGCTTCAGATTTGCCAACCTTGAAACCTTAATAAACTAAAAAGAAAGTCACTCTCTATACAATGGGAGCCCTGAGCTATTCAGACCACACTGTTCAAAACCAGCCAGTAAATCTGTTTATTAGAGCTTTTTTTAGCTGGTTTCCAACTGCAGTTTTTAGCCCCTCTGCATTGGCTTCATTCCTTAAGACCAGAGGTTGCCATGAAATTAGTTGTACATTTTTGCCCTCTTCAAAACCTACTGACCAAAGGTTTTCTAATGCCAGGATTTAAATTCTGACTCTCCTACTGGGTAAGGGGTGAGGAAACATCCGGAAAACAGGCAAACTTGAACAAAGTGCATCTAGCGCAATACAAAGTCAGTGGTAAACAATGACAAATTGGTTTACAGGATGGCAATAGTTGCCTGAGCTAGCACCACCAGTGTTCATTCCACCTGACTGGTCAACATCAGCATGTCGGTGCTGTCTGCACTTTGCTCCAGTGGAATGATAATATGCCTGTTTAACTAGACATGGCCTACATGCAACTCTTCTCTTTATTCTTGTGGTTCAAAATACTGACAAACTGCAACACACAACGAGCTGCCATTGGTCATCTGTGCTAGTTTATTTCCACCATAGAGCCGTCTAGTCAAACATTATAGCATAATGTCAGTAGTGAGAGCTACAGCTGAAGCTGATCAGTACGCTACAGTCAGGGACACCCCCATGACATACAGATAGTGTGAAAGTAAAGCACTGAAACGTGTATGCAAAACTGATGTTCAGGTTTGGGTCAGACTTTTAAAAAATGAGCTAAAATAGGCAAAACACTTGACTCTGACTGTAGTGGTTGATGGTTTGGCTTCTCCACTGGTTCACTAACACTAAACAAAGGGGTTAAGCTGACCAGCTTCTCCTGTGGGTAGAGCTACTTTCTAGTACCTCATAAAACCCTGCCTCAAAAATCCAAGAATCCATTCAGCTAAAAAAAGAAAAACACTTTGTCCACAAGACAGTAAATAAAAGTCAATTTCCTCTCATATTTACAGGAAGTGGAATTGTGTCGACTCACTAGCCAAGAGAAACTGGGACTGACTTTGTGCTACAGGACTGATGAAGAGGAGGATGTGGCTATCTATGTCAGTGAGGTAAGTTATTCCATTGTCTTAATGATTGACTTGACATGTCTCTGCTTGAAAGGATTGACACTATGAGTTTTACATATTCTGTAGTGTAGGAGCACAAAATTTTCAGACTATTATTTTTCTTTGTCCCCTCAAAGTTGTTTTTTGGGCATTTTTGCTTTGTGAAGTCAAAGAGAGAAAGGAAATACGGGGAATAAAGGGTGGGGAAAGAAATGCAGCAAATATTAACGGCCAGAAGTTGAAGAAGCAGCAAGAATTATCGCCTTTAATATGCAACATCTATCCACCTCTAGTTAGCTCTTCTTTTTCCACCACTACGGTAAGGACTGCTCTGTTGAAAAGAAAAAAAGGAGGTAGCCTACTCTTGGGACAAGAAGTCTATGCATATTCTATCCTCAGTTTCTTTCCAGTGCTGGTCTCTAAAGTCCCACATTTACATTCTTAATAAATCAGGCTATCACAGCTGGGCGAGAGATTCTCAGTAAAATGGATGAGGAACTCAGAGAGCAGGATTTTCATGACTGAATCAATTGTGACATTTAATCTCACAATTTATGATTTTCTTAGGTATTCATGTGAGAAACACTTTGGGGTTTCTCTTTGGGGTGTAGTTATTTAAAATTGAAACCTTCTATCAAACATAAATGACGTTATTGAGCAGTTTGGCATTGCGCACACTCTGTGATTATACCGTCAATTTCCAACGTGAAATGCCTGCCAAGACAGCAAAAGACAAAAATGCTTTCAGATCTTGTCTGAGGTGTCGCCACGGTCCCAAACACAGCACATATAAACAACCAAGCCGTGAAAACCCTTTCGCAGCAAAGCTTTTCTATTTTTCTCCAACTTATTGGGAGAATAGAAAATACTGCTCAACTTTCTCTTTGATTCGTTTGAAGTGGACTTGGACCAGGCTAGGTGTTCACTTTGAGAGCTGAGTGGAATATAAATTGCTGCAGTCTGTGGCCTCTGGCAGCATCTCTAAGTGTTTGCTCAGTGAAAAAGTAGAGTTTAAAGTTATGTGCTGCATTTAGATGAGGCGGCTGAATGTCACTGTATACAGGATGTCGTCACAAAGATGTTACAGGCTCATAGACTAAGAGTTAGAAACAATTCAAGGTCAGTTTAAACCAAATTTCACCAGATTGCACTGCTTAATGAACGCCCATATTGTTTTTGTTTCTGTGTTTCTATTGAAGTGTATTTCTCTTTGTTTCCAATGTGTGTTACAGCACAGTGGCTAAATAATTCAGCAGGACCAGAGCATATGAAGTTATCCACCAGCCCATCCATTTTGTGCACTTGTTTAATTCTATTCAGGGACACATGGGGCTGGAGTGTATCCTAGCATCCATGGGGCAAAGAGCCTGAGTCCATTCTAGACAGGTAGCCAGTCTATTACAGAGCCAACAAACACACTCTTCACTCTAATGGGCAATTTAGACTGTTCAGTCCACCTTCCGCCTCTCTCTTTCCTCCCAATCTATTCCTTCCTAATGCAGACAGCAAACCTTACAGAGAGGAAACACCCAAGACCCACCTGGAACTGCCATCATTTAACCTCAGAATTCTATGTTTTCTTGTATTTTAATACCCAGTTGTCTATTATTCAGTGTTTCAATGCTTTCTCATCATAACCCCAAAAAGACTGCCCTCAATTTTCTCCCTTTTGCTCCCGTCCCACCCCCATTTTTGTCTCGTGACCTCCTTCCCATTTTAATGAGTGCTCCTCTGTGTAGGAGTAGACTATCATGAAGATAGAGTGCCAGAGTCCCTCACTATCCCAGGAGATCCCGCCTTGTTGGAGAGAGTGAAACGTAGGGCTCCAGACACCGATTGATTGGCCGATAAAAGAGTGTCCTGCCCCCTTGTTCACTGGCATTACTTACAGGAGGGGCAGGTGTATCATGTACCATGGTTGAGTGATGGGCTGTAGATGCTATGTGCGGAGGCTTGCATATAAATCTGCCAGGGTTTGACTTTTGAGGGAGGTACAATCAGGATCTGGCATCTCTTAAATGATTAAAGTCAAGTTTTTGTCGCTTTTGCCAATGGAAAGCCATTTGACATGCAAGGTCTTCTCATTGCAGCAAACCAGCGTTGCAACATTATCGTAATTAAAAACCAGGCAATGGGTTGGTTAAATCTCCATAATGAGTTCAAATACTTAAACCCAAGATGTGAGTCTGTCAAATTAAAAACCGTCAAGTATTTCAGATGCATTACTGAGTCTCCTTTATCTTCACAGATCAGTCCAAACAGCATCGCTGCTCGAGACGGACGGATACGAGAAGGGGATCGCATCTTACAGGTACAGCAGGACTCTCGCTCACTTTTCTGCTCCACCCAAGATCTCATTACATTCAACATGAAAAAAAAAAAAAAAACTACTTTTATTTTGTCACATTCAACCATCGTCTCCCAGCAAGAGGGCCCATTCATTTTTAATGGCAGCACATTAAAACGGGGAACACACCCCCACTGTGACTGTTAAAGGGGGAGAAATGCCCCCCTGGCTGTTTTAGTTACAGACTCAGCATCAACAGGACTTCTAGTTTGGGTTGGCACTATGCTGTAGCTCCTTATCTCCTGTGGGTTAGCTGAGAGGCTTTGGCTGTTATTAGCCCCCAGCTTCATCTTCAGGCCTGAGAGTTAGAGTAGCTACAAATGTCAGGAGAAAAACTGAGGAATGGATGGAGTTGGTGCTTGACTTGATTTGTAGCTCTCCTTCCCGCCTGCTGTGTGTCTCTCTGCTCCACCTTCTGTCACAGACACATCGACGTAACCCCTGTGTGCTTTCATTAAGTCATAGCCTAAAGAGCATTGACAGGAAGCTTCATGGCAATGTGCAATGATTACAGTGTTTCCCACACCTTCATTTATCTGTGGCGGCCCACCACAAATAGATTTTTCTGCTTTTGGCGCTACCTCGGACTCAGTACCTATCAGTATATCCGGGTGCTGCACCACAGGGTGCACCGGGTGGATTATGAATGCAAAGGATAAGTAGTTTTTTAATTGTAAAGGACAACATTCAACAACATGGAGCTGATTGAGGATGCATTAGGCAGAGTATCCCTGACAGAATATCAGTAACTTGATGGGGCGTTCACACCAAACGCGAGTATAATCATCTACTCGCCTAATTCAGGCAAATCTAGATGTGTGAATGGATAGTATTTAATCGCTTTATTCGCGCGTCAGCGGTAATCCCTGGCAATTTAACTAGCATGATCAAGTGATAGACATATTTTTTTACAATTTACCAGGTAATCTGACCTTCTCACTCACTTGCTCCCAGGCAAAGTCCTTTTTGTTCCGGTTTCGGTAATTGAAAGAAAAAGTATCATATAATATGGGGCGACCACACACCGACATGATCAGTTTGTCCTCCATTTTAGATACCAGTGAACAACCGTCCATTTTCATATGTCACCCGAAAACCTTCGTGCTGATTGGTTATCGCAACACGAATATCCGCTCAAGCTAAGACATTTTAAGCTCACGCCCAATTCGCGTCACCAGAGTTGTACGAGCGTCTAATCGGGTATTTGCAATGACCTAACATGTAATTCAGTCGTGTGAATGATTTTACTCATACTTGGTGTGTGGAGACAGTTACAATTTGATCATTTGCAGTTGAGGCTGTTTGCAGCTGTAAGTAAAGCAACAAAAGGCAAAAAATTCAGCCGCAAAAGCTCAGAAGGATTGTGGGAACAACAACAACAAAGTCATGTTCCAGCTTCTTTTGGACTTCTATTGCTGTGAAACATCTGATGCTAAACTCGAGTGCATCATCAATAATCATCAGATATTATTAGTCACCTGTGCCCACCTAGCTCTCTGGATCCAAAGCCACCTAGAGGCTCTCCCTGCAGCTTATCCCTCTTCCCCTTAAAAGCCTCCTACATTCAGTCTTTCTATGGCTGCCTCTAATATCAGGATACTGTTGGTTAAAATTGTTGATATAAAAACATTTGTAAGATAACCTTCTACACTGAAAAGAGTTTGCAGGTGGAGGAAATTCTTGTGGCTACAATAAGTGACTGAATCCTTTTACTGCAGACTGGAATAAAAGTCCCTCTTGGAATGACTCACTGATGTAAACATAGCCTGTAAATTAAAAAGCATTCAATGATCTTCTTCACGGAAAAGGCCCCAAAGAAGTAGAGTAATGCATCATGTATGGAGAAACAGGATCTAACTCATAAGGAGGAGTAAATAGTCTGTACAGGCAATTATAAGATGCAGGGGGCGGATGCATAAGCACTGTTGGTCTAATTGTCTTCTGGTGTCTACCATGTGTTGCGTGCCTGATTTAGGCCAGGAGACTGTATGTATGTGTGTGTGTGTGTGTGTGTGTGTGTGTGTATGTTTGTGTGTGTTTGAGGCAGACCAGTACTCTGGCACTATTATCCACCAGTGACAGGGCCATTATTCTGCCTGCAAAAAGATGGACGCCCCTTGTCAGTGGCCAGTTAATTGTATGGCTAGATGTATGTATGCTGCTCGATACTTTGGTGAACATAACAGTTCCGCCGGCCCACGGCCACTGTCCCATTCATAATCACTGCTGAGACCAGCCCCGTATCAGGGAGCGGCACAGAGTGTTTACAATTTCCTCAGGAAAAAAAGCCTCATTGTGCCGCGCCACTTTTATTGTTGTACTTTGTTTTTCTAAAGGGCTTGTATATTGAGAGAATGAAACTCAGTATATTTTGTGCCTCTGATGAAACGCTTGTATTTCATATTTAATGTGTTTTTGCTTGTTTCTATCTGCTTTAAAAAACAAATGTGATAATCATGTTTGCGTATCATTTTTAGATTAACGGCCAAGACGTACAAGACAGAGAGGAGGCAATGGCTGCGCTCTCCAATGAAGAGTGCAGGAGCATTGTGCTGCTGGTTGCCAGACCGGAGATGCAGGTTAGAAAACAAAACAACACACACTTGCACAAACACTTTCTACTTGTTAACAAGTGAAGGTAACAACCACCATGGGATAGACGTGTGCGAAGAGAATACACTGCTCACAAATTAAAGCCCTGAACTTTTATCATTTGCGGCATAAGAGTAAACCTTAGCAGTCGTGGGTAGCCAACCTTCCCCCTCTCCACACCACCACAACTAATCCAAGTGGAAGCCACCACTGAGACACCTCATCATGTTTTATTTTTATGTAGCGCCACTGTAATTGACTTCCAACGGTAAGCCATAAAAGCTAATGGCATGCTAATGTGGAGTGAGTTCAGGCCCAAGGCCAATGGCGAATAAGCGGAAGAACTCTGCCGCAGTGCAGATGCGCCGGTAGCAATGGTAGACTCTTAGTAATTAAATGTGTCTCTGGGTAGTAAATCTGAAGTCTACAGATATGGATCCCATTTGGTTCACATCACACAGACAAATAGATGATGGATGGTGTGGAGCAGGAAGGTCAGAGGTGGCAGACTGATGTCCATAAAGTGAATTGGCTTGATTTTAAGATAAGAACCCATGTTTTAAAGATGAGGGTTGGTGTTTTGGAGCCTAAGAAATAAAGGGTGCAGCCTGACAACACTCCAAATTGATGCTTGCGGTTTCTCATCTCAGAAGCTTTTTTTTTTTTTTTTTTTCCTCGCACTAAATCCGATTTGAGCATCCATTTGGAACATCCAACAGTTTGTTCTGAGACATTTTGCCACCACAAGCTCCGGGCCATGACAAATAACATTTGCCCTCTTTCTTTCTCTTTTTCGTATCCATCCATTCTTCATTCACCCTTAGCTGGAGGAGGCCTGGTTGGATGATGAGCACAGCGAGTTCCTGGAGCAGCTGAAGATGGAAATGTTGGAGGAGCAGCAGAGAGAGGAGATGGAATTGGCTGCCTTACAGGAGGAGGATCAGGAGAATGAGCAGGTCAGACAGCAGCAAAAACACATGCTCTGCTGTAACTGGATTACTGAGTCAAAGGCAGAGCTCTGGTTTGGGTTGAAGAAACTCTACAAGCCTTTTTTCTTTTATTTGCTCAGTTCATTGAGAACAAAACCTCTAAAAAACAGCTCTTTGCTCAAAGAAAATGATCAAAGTTAACCTTCCCTCTGACTGACAGAGTGCAGAACCCATTGTGTTGTGAACATCGTGCCAACCAACTGACCAAAATTTGCTTTGACTGTTTGAGGTCATTTGTCACGATCAATATTAACCAGATCTAGCTGGCAGCAGGGAGGGAATCAAAGTTTTCATTGACTTTTCGAGGAAAATGGTGAAAACAGCTTTGCCCTTTGAAATATGAATATGAAATAATGATTATAAATATTTATGGAAGGGGACCAATGAACCATTTCAATTCCAGACATAAGAAATCATCATTTAAAATTCTGTTTTGTTGTTGAGAGGATAGCAAGCAACAAAAATCCATATAAATGGAACTTCAAAGACGTGACGGAGAGGAAACGCTCCCTGAAGTAACAGAGCTGTACAATAGAGTTACACACAACAACAACAACAACAATGAATGCAATCCTTAAGGAGGCTGCTGAACAGGGTTGAACTTCTTGAACTCTTAATACTTCAGCTCTAGTGCCTTTTTATTCTTTTTATCCTTATTTCATACCACCTCAATTTCCAAAATAGTGTGCAAAATATTAATAAACACAGAATTTGATAGTTTGCAAATATTTAAACCCTGTATATGATTGCGAAAAGTGCATAGACAGCATTTTCTATATTTAAACAATTTTATTTATTTATTTATTTTTTAATTCGATGCCAGCAACAGATTTCAAAAAGGAGCTGGGACAGAGGCATGTTTACTTTGTGTTGCATCACTTTCATTTCTCAACAACACTAGAAAACCAGATTCTGAAGTTGCAAAAGAGAGATGTTGTCCTATTCTTGCCTGATGTAGGATTTCATTTGCTTTACTTTACTGAGTCTCCTTCATCTAATATTTTGTTTGACCTTGTTCCAAATGTTTTCAATAAGTGAAAAGTCAGGACTGCAGGTAGACCAGTTAGCACCTGGGCTCTTATGCCGCAGAGCCGTGTTGTTATAAAACATGTTGAATATGTTTTAGTATTGTCTGTCTGAAATATTTAAGATCTTCCCTGAAAAAAGGTTTTGTCTGGATGGCAGCATATGTTGCTTCAAAAGCTGTATATAATGTTCAACTTAAATGGAGCCTTCCCAGATGCGTAAGCTATGAGCACCTCTATATCCCCAGACTGTCAGGAGTACTGGTGATAACACGCAGGTTTATTCCTCTCCTCTTTAGAGTGAGGGATGCAGCATCCATGATTTCCAGAGAGTAGAAATGTAATTCTGGACTAAAGGACACTTTTCTAGTTTGCCTCAGACCATCTTAAATGGGCTTGACCTGGAAAAGTTGCATCTCTGGGTTGTGTTTATATACATTTTTCTCTTTGCATGGTGCAGTTTTAACCTGAATTTGTGGATACAGCAATGAACCGTGTTCACATTAGTTTTTGAAAGTGATTTTGATACCAGGCAGTGATTTCCACCACAGAGTCATATCTAATTTAATACAGTGCCAGCTGCCTGAGGCCTTGAAAGATCACAGCCATCCAGTATTGGTTTTTGGCATTGTCCACTTTGTACAGAGCTTTCTTCAGATCCTCTGAATATTTAATAATATTATATACTGCAGATGATGAAATCCCTAAATTATTTTCAGTTTGATACTGGGAAATATTACTCTAAAAATGTTGAAATATTTTCTGGTACAGTATTTCACAGAGTGTCGAACTTCTTCCCATCTTTGCTCCTGACAGACTCAACGTCTCTGGAGTTTCCTTTTTATATCCAGTAATGGTGCAGGCATGATGCAAATCAATGTAATTGGTTAGGAGATGTTTCTTGAGGTGTTTTTATAAGCATTGCACAAGGTGTGTTGTTGTCCCTGTTCTTTTTAAACCTTTTTGAAGACGTTGCTATAACCGATTTCAGAACAGGCATACTCCCCAAAGCAATTCAATTCCAATTTCCCAACTTTTGTGTCCCAACTTTTTTGAAATTGTTGTAAAAGGGAGGGTATAACAACAGACAACTCTAAATATGTAAATTTATGATACAAGAGGACTTGATACACATATGCAGGCAGAAAAATGGTTTAAAAATGAGAAGTGAATAGAAGAGTTGAGTGTGTGCTTCATTTGTGTGTTCAGGTATTTAAGGTTTGTTTTGTTTCCTATATTTCAGAGAGCAGAAGATGATGAGCCCACCTGCTCGACACTGCCTCATAAGAATAATAAACAAACAAAAGACAGATCGGAGAGTTCAGATCAGAATGTCCTGGCACACATCCAGAGGCGTTTATCCCAGTGCCTGAGAGACAATCGGGACTCACACCGTACGACTGGCTCAATGAGGCTGGAGGATAAAGAGGATGAGGATGATGATGAGTTGGAGGGTGATCGTTTCCAGCAGCTTTTGGAGCTGAAGTGTCAGATACGCAACAGTGGCGAGTATGACCTCTTCTACAGCCGCCGCAGCACGATCGAGTGCAGTATGGCAGAGCAGGGCGGCATGCAGCATGAGCTACGTATGCTCAACGAGGAGCTGCGAAGCATAGAACTTGAATGTCAGAACATCATGCAGGCCCATAACCTTCGAAAGGGACAGCAGTCTCCGACCACGGGCCACTCTGGACCTTCAGCTAAAAACCGAAGCCTCCATGGAAACGACTCCACCAGGAGTAAGCTGGCAGACATTAACGAGAGACTGGAGAAATCTGACAAAGACAGCTCCAGTGCCTATAACACGGCAGAGAGTTCACGAAGCACCCCTCTAGCAATGGACCGCTCCCCTGAGCACTCACTCCAGAGGATGGTGAGTCTCACCAACCAGAGGAACCTCTGCAGCGGCCTCGCCACTGGCCCATCCCTTAGCCCAACTCCAGTCCCAGCATGTCGTGCTCCTGTCCCGGGCAAAAGCAGCAGTCCTGATCACAGCAACCCTTCGAATCAAACACCTCAGGCTGAGGAGGAGAGCAAGGGAGTTTTAAAGCCACGTACTACACAGATTCCTTACTTCTCTCCTTCCCACAGCTCCCAGCAGAGACAGGCCAACATCCCAGCTCACGCTCGCCACTACCAGAGCTATATGCAGCTGATCCAGCAGCGCTCAGCTGTTGAGTACGCTCAGAGCCAGCTCAGCCTGCTAAGCGTCTGCAAAGAGCCACAGAGGCCCATTAATGAGCCCAAGATGGAGTGGAAGGTCAAGATCCGTAGTGATGGAACTCGCTATATAACCAAACGGCCTGTGAGAGACAAGATCCTGAGGGAGCGAGCTCTTAAGATTAAAGAGGAGCGCAGCGGGGGAATGACCACAGATGATGATGCAATGAGCGAAATGAAGATGGGGAGGTATTGGAGTAAAGAGGAAAGGAAGCAGCACCTGGTCAGAGCAAAAGAACAGAGGAAAAGACGAGAGTTTATGCAGCGTAGCCGCCTGGAAAGCTTGAAGGAAAATCCTCAGAGCAGCAGCGAGGGTCGCAAGGAAGTCAGCATCATAGAACTCAGCCACAAGAAGATGATGAAGAAACGCAACAAGAAGATCCTCGACAACTGGATGACCATCCAGGAACTGATGACTCACGGCACTAAGGCCCCCGAGGGGGCCAAGGTGCACAACGCCTTCCTATCAGTCACTACTGTATAAAGACAGATATCACACATTCTACCCCATGCGGTATATGATACTTGCCTCGTTCAATGTGGCATTTTTATGACGACATATGGAATATTTTTCACACTTTGTAACCCAAAAAGCATTTTGTAAAGAATTTATCAGTGGTCTTTCAGCGTTTTCTTCACAATTTTCATTTGATTTTCAATATCATTTTCTCGTGTGGCTATGTAGGAGAAGCATTTTTTCTATGAAATAATGACAATATAATTATTTTATTATGTCACTCAAAACATGTTTATCTTTTCAATTCTATTTTCATATTTATGTTACAACCATTTAACTTAAAATAGTTGTATGAACATCTTAAAAAAAATTAAGTATTTTTCTTTTTTGTATTATTACATTTAACAGATGCAACACATAAAGAATCAGTGGGTCTCTTACATTTCTTTTCTTTTCTTAATGTTCTTTTATCTAAAAATGTATGTATCCTTTAAAGCTTATATCAGTTACTTTTTTTCACTTTATTGAGATTGGTTGGAAACTGTAGGAATATGCGCGCATTGGACCCCAAAAACATCAAGTTAAACCGTAAACATGTCACATGATTTGAGGAGAAGGAGGCGTTGCTCAATAATTCACAGATCTCAACTCTTCATCAACTAAAGTTCCTCACACTGCAATTTTAAAACTGCATTACTTGTAGCTAATGGAATTCTAGTTTAGCCGTGACAAGAGTGTTAAATACCTACAACTAGGGCTGGGCGATATGGGAAAAAGTTTATCACAATATATTTTTTCATATCAGTCGATATTGATATTAATCATGATATAAAAAGAATTACTTTGTCAACCTTAAATGTTCCATGTCACTCTTAAATGAAATTTAACAGTGCTTATTGGTTGCATGTCTTTTGCAATACAATAAGCTACTTTGTCTGTGAGGTCTTTGTGCCTCTTCGACGTTTTGTCGTAAGGCGTTAGGCTAGAGAAAGTGGACTGAATGGTCGATGGCGCAGACCCAGAGCAACTCCTCTTTCCATGACAGAATGCCGGCTATTGAAAAGCATATTGACCATGTTTCATATCGATATTGAGGAAAAATAATTTTTGATATACATCATTATCGTTTTATCGCCCAGCCCTACTTACAACTAAATTGAAATATATCAAAATTACTCGGGGGTACTAATTTTGCGTTTTCAGTTTACTTGATGTTCATGTTTTTTAATATGACCAAAGAGTTCTGGTCTACAAATTAATTTTTGTGATATCATTTTTACTATCAGCATTTTTTTTATAAACCATCTTTTAACAGTTCAATACCTCATCTTACAGTTAAACTCTACTTATGTTGTTTCTGTAATTTGTGAACTCCAGCTGATTTTCTTACAAAGCTTCTGAGAAAACTTAAAAATAATCCATCAGAAGCTGCTACAATGACAAGTTTATGGAGAAAACAACTTTTTAGACAAATGAAAAATTTAACGATTATTCTTTCGAAATGGTTCTTTTAGATTTTTGTGGTTACGGACAACGAACATCCCAAGAATCCAAAATGTAATGGCTCATTGCCAGTGTTGCAGCTTTGTTTGTACGGTTTTCAGCTTTGGGTAACAAAGTATTTTGTATTCTGTTTTATTTTTGCTTAAAATCTTTTTTTTTTTTCTCTACATAACCAACAACAGATGGACCTTCTCATAGCTTTTGCATACTGGTATTTTTACATATTTTTTACTCTCCATACACCTTTACTCAGCATAGCCTTAACAGCATAAACCTAATCAATGGTGTGTTTGTGTTGCAGCTGATTTCATGCACAAACAAACTGTCTCTGGATATCTCTGTGCAACAGGGAGGTACTGTTCAGCCTTATTCATGGGTAACACAAACTGAGATTTTAGTGACAGGGAAAATCACAGATATTGTATAGTGCTTACTGAATTATGTTTGCAGTCACATTACAACTTGTGTTTGGATGATTGCCACTGAGCAGGACTCAGAACACAGCATATGGGATCATTAAAAAACTTCAACACAGAACTCAAAGGGTTACCATCTATGAAATGAATTTATGGTTCAGTTACATGTACAGCATACTCATTCCAAAAGGCCTAATTTTTAACTGAAATATTGTAAAGTTGAATCTTTAAACTGATCCCTGTATTTGTTTTCAGTCAATGTTCATGGTCTAATTTGAGTAATGCGTAGTTGGGCAAATTTGTAGCCAGGTGAAATGTGTGATAACGGTGAAAGAAATGATAATAAATTATTGTTTTTTTGGTACAACATTGCACTGACTCACATAGTTTTTTTTTTAAATCACAGTGGAGACCAGTTTAGTCGAGTGAAACAGAACATGCACTCACCTCTGATATCTTCAAAAGCGATTCCCTTTTTTTTTCTTCCACCTGTGGATGTCGAGTGATTAAACAGAGAAAGATATTAATTAAAATCACCTTCTTCTTGGATGGCTTAGCGCTCATTAAAATGTAAAAACCACTTCATTATTGCTGTGGCCCCATCATGTGCAGGGGAGAGCTCCTGGGATACTTTGGTCTCTGTATTATCTTAAGTTGTCAGTGAGCTAAAGCTGAAATTGGAATGTCACGGATACTCTTCCGCCTCAAGACTGTTCTGTTCTGCGGTGTTTTCATTTAACTGAAAACTTGTTCCACTTACGGAAACTGGTGAAATATAAAAAAGGAGCCAAGTCCTCCTGATATGAGACACGTTTGCTACTGAATGGAAATTATTCATTGTGACCTACAGGCATTTTGTTCTTTTTTTTCTTGTCCTTTATTTTTCAGTCTAACATTTTAAAACTCTTATACTTCCAAACACAAACTAGCCTTTAAAAACTTCCATCGAACCCCTTATGGGAGAAGCCTGACCATTACTGGATCCATTACTGCTTAATTCCACAGCGTCACCCAAGCTCATCCATGCCCACTCTAGTCGATGCTGGTGTTTTCACAACTTGAGCTGCAGCACATTTTAAATCCACCCAACACGTTTTTTTCTCTGTTCTGCTTCAGATATGCACAGCCTATATTTTAACCCATGAATTTACTCTGCTGGACAAACTATATGCATAAAATAACCTGTAAAGAATTCTCCATTTAATCAAAGTCAAACCTCTATACTCCACAATACATGCGCACACATTGACCTAATAATATTTGCTTTATAGGTCAGACTCTAATTACATGACTGAAAAGCCCAGTGGCTGACTACAACTATAGTAAGTGCTTTGTGCTGGCAGTGTATTTATTATATGTGCTGTTCTGCTTTATAATGCAAAGGCATCATATATGATGTGACTCTGAGGTTGTACTCTCAGCTCATTGTCCCTCATTTCCATTATAGTCTGATGCTCTTAATGGTATTTCCATTCACACAGCAACTAAAATGTTAACATCCAAGTTGGTATTAAAAAAAGTAGACTCACATCATCCCCGGAGCCCATTTGCTTTTGGCTTAACTGTTAATGTTCACAGTCTGTGTAGATGGAGACCATTAAATGCCAGTGAGGAGCCACAGAACAGGAAAATATGCGAGTTTTACCAACCCACGCCAGAGCTAGCCCAAAGCTTGCTCGTTAATTAAGTTCATCCCACAGCCCCTTAAAGACTCAGTCAGGTGTAATTAAAATCGAGCCGGTGACAGCCATGGCATTTGTCAGAGCAACCCAGCAGTTCAAATACCAGAAGTGACAGAAATGTCAAACAGATAGCAGCGGCTCATCTCCTCTTCAGTGCTCCTTTCACAGCCACGCACACATGCACCTCCTGCCTCTATTATGGATGTTTCCTGATAACCTTTACGATTCCTTGAACAGCGAAAACTACAAATTCTCTGACATGATCCTTCAAGGGAGGTCTACATTTATTGACATACAGATCCACTTCACATCTACTTCACAGTGCCTCCTCTTGTTCCCAATCACAGAGGCTTGTTATAAACTTGTAATTGCCTCAGATCATGCGTCTCTTGGTGTCAATTTATGGCAGTGTTGATCTTTGATATCATACCTGCTGTGTTGGTGTAAATGGCCCTAACATGCCAGATGTAGCGGCAGTTATGCAGGGGCAATGGGCAGAATGGTAGACTAATGCTGAACCAGCTGCTCTGAACTTATATAATTTAATGAGGCTGAAGACTGTAGTGAGTCCACGGATTGAGAGTTATGGAACACAGGTCACTTCACACCCGCTCTCATCTGCATCATATTGAAGATAGTTATTTTAAATAAAGCTGTAAAAAAAAGTGACATGAACTCCATATTCCTTACCCCTACACTACAAGACAGCTACAGCTTTAATTGCTTCTCTCTGAGTCTGACAGAGCTGAAGAGAATCAAAACACAGGTTTATGAAGGACCTCCTTAAGGTGCCAAAAGAGGTGCTAAAAGCTAATAATACTTTAAAGCCAACAGAGAGTAACACATCTGTCAAAGCTAATAGAAAGCTTGCAAAATGTTATCAATCAGCTTTTTTAAGACAACAAATTGCAATTCTACAAATCACAGTATCCACAGAACTTGATATCAGCCAGTACTCATGTCAAGTAGATGATCATCAATTGTTAGCCGAAGATGAAGCCGCAACATCCCTGGCTTAAAGTCCCACTTTCGGTCCTTTTTTTTAAAATGTATTTTTATTTTTTATTTAAAGTGTTTCTCAGTGGTCGTTAAATTGTGATTTTGAAGATTTTAGCCAAAATTCACATCACGTGTGTCATTTTGAAGGGCTTTTCTTCTGCAGAGCTCCAGTAGCTCATAAGCAATTTACCTCTGAGTCGTGGGCAGAGACAGCGCTGCTCTGCACACTCCTCTTCATGCTAGCTTTTAACCTAACATTGCAGGTGCAGCTTCCTAATGTCTTTGGGGACATGATGAAAGTTAATATCATAATTAGCTTTCGTACAAGCATCGCAATCCGCTACCACACACACTTGCTCCACGATCGTCCTCTCTACTTCTTGGAGTCTGGCCTGTTGACCGGGGGGCGGGGCTTGAAGTTGTGATGTAAGAAATCTCGCTGTGTCTGAACAGAAATCCGATTTTGCATTTAGTTTTCTCATGATATGTTCTCTAGCATCAGAAAAATGCCGTATGAACATGTAGACACCAAGAACAACATGATTTCCATCAGAGTGGGTCTTTAAATAGAAGATGATTTTATTTGCTGAAATATTTGTTCTTTACACTTACTTTAAAGCTAAGAGTCAACAAAAAGTTTTGGGCAACAAAATTAGTCAGATGCGCTACACTGAAGTTGTTTAAAACATACCATTCATAATGCAACAAAAATATGACACAACTTTTAAGCGTGAATGAAAACCCTACTTTTGGTCTTTATGAAGAAAAAATAAAAAGGTTTTTGTCTCAAACTGAGTTCAGATCCTGCATATAGAAAACCTGGTCTGAAGCGAACTGTGAATATAAGACAAACATTGAAAATTTTTGCAATTCTCAGATTTTTAAGGTTAGCCAAAACATTGAATCTCCTGTTGTCTCACTATTGACTCCAGCACAGCTCCATGTTTTCAAACCTCTGCTTGATTTGCTCGTGTGTCATTGTTGGCAGAGTTCTTTTACTGCTTCAGTGAACCGTTTGGACTTTTTCTCCCACACCCCCTGTTTCGTCTGTCATTTGTTGTTTCATTTTCACCCCAGTCAAATGCATTATGGGACCTATTAAGCCAAAACCTGTGAATATTTCACAGCATAATTAGAGCACTAATTACATTTCATTATTCATACAATGGGTGATGCAAACTGCAACACATATTGCAGAGAACTCATACATGCTCCATTTGAACTGGGATATAGGAGTTTGTACAATACTTATGAGAACATACTGTAATAGATTCAGCCTGAAACAGTGGTATAGCTGTATTATTCATGGGCCCATATTGCAGATTTTACTTGCAGAGTAGTACCTGCTGGTGGGAATAAAATCTCTCTACACCAGTTGGCTTACACTGTTACCCATGCAGAGTTTAAAAACAAAACAAAAGGCTGCAAGTCTTCAGTCTTGAAAAAGCTGAAACTACTTCAAAGTTCCTTCATACTAGTTTTTCATCAAATCCCAAGTACAAATCCAAAAATAAGTTTTTAAAAAATCCTGCACGGATTTCCTGAAGTGGTAGACTGACAGTGTCTCACTCTGGTGTTTCTGCTTGCCTCTGAGGTGGACATGACTGACATGTGTGGCCAACCATGCAAACTCTGTGCTGTATACAAATGTAACACTTGCCCCTTTGTACATTTGTCATTTCTATGAATCTTATTAACATTCTTGCAAAGTTTGAGTTACTCTTATTCATGAGCTGTGGGTCAGAGTCTGTATCCAATAGAAATGACTAATATGATTCTCAGTCTGTGATTGCCTCACTGAGCTCGAGAATTAATACATGTCTGGTCGACGATGCATAGGGTCTGTTTCACATTTACTGCAGAATGTTTAACATAGATCCCCCTCACCTCCTCCTGTTATTTCATCGTCAGCAATGTGGCTGAGAAGAAGACTCTTCCATTAGTCGTGGTGAGTTCATCAGTTACTGTTTTATATTTATGTGTTGTACACCATGTTGTCTCATCATGGAGGATTTTCATAACAGAACCTGTCTGGATTTAATTGGCTCCTAGTGTGCTTCTTAATGAAACCGTAGCTTACAGGATGTGAAGTGTACTCGTATATCTGCGGGATCAACATAAAAGCTTGATACAGTGCAGTGTCAAGCTGCAGGAGTTTTTGCTTGTTCAGTTGCATTCTGGGTTGTGAGACAACCCGCACTCTTGAGTAATGAGAATCTTGCCAGAAGGCTTTGCTAGTCAGAGCTCAGCGTTTTCTGGGCTAAGCCACAGGCAAGTCGAGAGTGATGCTCAGTGCATCTACAGTAAGGAGTGACCTCACTACAGTGCACATGTAGGTTCATCAAAAACTGCAAACAGGTCAATAAACTTAAAGCCACACTCAGTGACTTTACACATTCACAGCTTCTTAAATATAAACAAGGTGTTGAGTCTGTTATATTTACCAATTCTACTGACCAAGTCTGAAACAGAAACGATCACGCCATTATCTATCGGTACGTGTACAACACCAATGTCTTGTTGCCAGGGCTGTTGCTAGCCTGAATCACAATCAAGCGTCATCAAGAGTCTGACAGAATCTGCTGGTGTGTTAATGGTAACCTGTCATCACAAAGAGGGAGTCACTCCTTTAGTCAGAGCTGCAGGAAGCATTTTAATGTGACTGGTAATGAAAATGCAGCATTCGTTGTG